AAACAAAAAACCAAAAACAAATGCAAACTACTGAAAAAAAAAAACTAACAAAAATGAGAACTAAAAAGGCTCAACAAATGAACCCCAATCAAGGCTACTTGACACTTAATTACTAGGGAACCAATTTCTTGGCTCCCCGGCAACGGCGCCACTTGAAGTTGAACTGCCCTTAATTGTCGCTTTGGGGTTACTCCAAAAATTAACCGAATTAATGCAGTATAGTGCAAAACTCGGGTCGTTTCACTTTGAGGAGCCGAAAACGAAATTAAACCCTAGTAAATGAATGCAAGTAACCTAAACTATAAAAAGAGATTTTTGAATTTTGAAAAGCTGTTAATTAAATACTACGAATCAAATTGAAATTAAAATACTTTTTTTTTGTTTTTATATAAAAGTGATTAAAATGAATGGAGATTAAAGAAATGAAAATGAGACACACAAATAACACTGATAAAAATCAATCCTCCAATTCAACAACTCAGGCAATCATCACTCTAAAAGATGTGGGAGTTAAAAACAATGAATTAAGAATTATAATTAAGCTTTTGATCCAACAACCGAGCCACCTCGAGTTGCCACAAAATATTTTCCTAAAATCCCAACTTACTAACTGCAACCAGAATAGTAAAATGGGATTAAGGATGCTAAAAACCAATGCTTAATTAGAACTCTTAAATCCAAAATAACAGAATTAAAGCTAGCAAGAGACTATATGATCCAAAATTCTAAGCCACCTTAGAAAATCACAATATATTAATTCCAAAATCAATACAAATGTCATAACCACAACATTATAATTGAGATCAAAACTATAAACAGCCCAATGTCAAATACTAAGCAATAATTCAGTCACAATAATCTCCAAATATAATCAGATTAAGCAATACAATTATCCCAACAATCAGAAAAACTATCCTAAGACCTAGGAATTGTTAAACAATTATTGAGTAAGAAATTAAAGCAACTAAAACTCCCCCTTGATGATCTAAGCTCCTGCCATTGTTGTTGAATTAGAGGATTATTAAGCTCTAGCCATGGATTGCCATAAGAAATGCCACAATCAGTATTTTGCTACAGGATCCCATGGAAGAACGCAGCCGCCGTCGTGTTCGTTCTCTGGTCCTTTCTCCAGCCGCGCCCAGCTCGCTTGCGTCTCCATTCTACCCTGTTCGGCGTGCTCTGCTCTGTTTCGTTCTATCTCCTTCGGCGTCCCGCGTTGATTCTCTCTGCCACCAGAAAGATTCAACGGAGAAGATGATGAATGGTCTCCTCGCGCGCCGCCCAGCTCTCTCAGCCAGCTTTTGGTTCGTGCATGCGCCTCCTCTGTTTTGCTCCTCTGCCGCCAGCCGCGTGTGTGTGTTCTGCGTCTCCCCTTTTCGGCTGAAGAAGATGATTGAATTATAGTATATTAGGTTTGGGGGGCAAAACGCAACGTTTTGCTCCCCTTTTTTTTAAATTATTTTTTTTAATTAATTTTTTTTAATTTTAATTTTAATTTTTAAATCTTCTAAAAACCTGCAAACAAAATTTAAGGATAAGGTAGCATTAATTGTCCTCAAAAATCAATTAGTCACAATTAAACCAAAATATGACAATTTTGCCCCTATAAAATAATAATTCAAAATAAAATAAAATAAATCAAAGAACAATCAATTAAGGCAAAAAGGGACCAATTAAGTTGACAAAACCCATATAAAAGATACCAAAATATATAAAAATAATTGAGTTTGTCAAACATCAACACACAAACATACATATCAAGCATACAAATAGGTAAGTTCACTATCTTGTCTTTAAGCTTTCTATTTGCTTCCTGTAACATCCCAGATTTTGGGCTTGGAAGCGCAAGAAGTAGCCTAAGGTAAGTCTAAGAAGTCTTTTTAAAAAATGGAATTCTCATAGTCTAAGTAATTCCATGCCTACCATCTAAAAACTTAACTATAAAAGTAACATTAATCAACCACAAAAAAGTAATCAATAAATGAACTATTGGCATCGAAAGAAAGGGAGCAGAAAAGGTGAATAAAGAAGAGAGACAGAGAGGGGGTATAAAAGATAAATAGAGAGAGAAAGAGAGTTGAAGAGACGGGAATAATGGCATAGGAATAAGACAAAATTGAAAGTTATTTAGCCTTAGAGGGAGAGGTGAATAAAATGTACGAAGTGTGCAAAGGAATAAATGCCAATAATTTAATTAGGGCAATTTTATACATCTCCATCAAAAATTACATGAGATGTCTCATATATGGGACCAAAGTTTACACACTCTCTTTGTCCTATAAATAGGACCATAAGAGTATATAACAAGTTGCAAACGGATACATAGTCCTTAATGTAATATCTATTTAACTAATTTTCTTTTGAAATTAATTGAAGTGAAATATATTATAATTAATATGCTTGTCGCTGGAATAATAATAATGATAATAATGATAATAATAATATGCTCATCAAGGTTATTATTATGGCTTACGTGACTCCAGGTGGGAAGGGATGTTTCCGGAATGAGATCAGGTCAGTAAAAGTTAATTTCATTTTACTGTCCATTTTAAATTAATTTATCAACGGCTAGCCACCAAAAATCATCAATCATGATGGAACATACACAACTACAGGTGCCAATTTAATGTTCAAATTTTTGTTGGAAAATTAAAATAATGTTTAACTTTTACCTATATTTAATACTGTAGTACACCATGCATCTGCATAGATGCACCATCCAAGAAGTACACAAATGGTGATGCTATTATTAACAAATCCCGCACAATATAAGAACTACTTAGCTAATTTGAGTAGATAAAAAACTTAGTTAAATTAGTTATTTATAATAAGTAGACGTTATCTTTCGTAAAATATTCTTGCTAATTATGTTTATTAGTTAGAATTTTTATTTAATGAAATTTTTAACATGTGCAAGTAGTTCTTAATAGGAAAATGGATAAATATGAAAGATAAAGTAGATTTGTGTCTTATATTTAGGATCAAGTTAAATGTCATTGGGTATTATATTTAGAACCAAGTTAAATGTTATTGGGTCTTATATTTATGATCAAGTTAAATGTCAAACTAACTCTCATATTAAAGACTGCAGGTAGCTAGTAAGATTGAGATAGTCAACATAATCAAGACAGAAAGGTCGAAATCAATGAAGAAGAAAAATGAAAAAGAATAAAGAAGAAGAAAAGAGAAAGAGCAAGGGAGATGATCATCAGGAATATGCCTGTTTCCGCTAATCCATTGAACCAAAAGCAAGTCTTCCTCTTTTACTAGTCAATTTATTTAAATCTTATTGATAGACTGGTTAGATAACTCTTGTTATAAAAACATCTCTGATCATTACCAGTTAATATTCTTCTCAGCCCTCAATTAAATTAAAAGTAATCATAGTTTCTTTTGCTAATTGGTATGTAGTTGATAGGTCAAAAGATGAAGGCGGTATGTAGTTGGTACGATGGGGCCACTAAAAAGTGCTTTTAGTGGCCATTATTTTGCCATTGTAATAATTATATATTCAATATATTTTAGTATTTTACAGCTTGGTTCAAAGACAAGCACTGGATCAAATTAACGTGAGAGCTTTAACAACTTCAGTGCGGAATATATTTGGACCTTTTTCTTTTTCTCTCTTTGTTCCTGTCATTGAATTGAAAAAGGCGACTTGACCGATATACCTTACCCTCTTTCTATATATTTGAGATTGTCTTTGTGACTATGCCTCACTGCTCTCTCTGCCCTTCTGGCTTCATCTCTGGCCATCGTTGTTCACTCTCCTGAGGAAACTGGTAATGATAATTCTGCTTCATCTCATTCGCTTGTGTTCCTCACATGTTTATATCTGTTTATTTTTCAATATGTAGAAGAGTCAGATCCACGAGTCCGATTTATACTACCTCTGGTCCTAATTATAAGAACTAGTTGACTAATTTAAAGAAGTTAAGAAAATAAGCTAAGTTAGTTATTTATAATAAATATGTGTTGTCTTTCCTAAAATATCCTTGCTAATTAAGTGTATCGGCTAAAACTATCATTATTAGAAGGACTGTTTTGGAAAAAATATAAATATAAGAGATAAAGTAGATTGGGGTATTATATTCAAGACCAAAATAAAAATCAAACGAGCTCTCATATTAAGGACCGGAGGTAGTATAAATTAAAGCCTTCTCCCGTCCCTATCGGCATTCCCTTGCTTCAACTTTCTTATTCTTCTTTATGCGTCTCCCATTCTCAGCCATTCTCAGTGTTTGTTTTACTGCATGCTTGCTCGTTCTTCTTTCTAGTCTCTCTTCTCGCTCTACATACACACACAGAGACACGCACCCCCCCCCCCGGGGGGAGCCCAGAAAGTGTCAGCCTTCAGCAAACCATTAACAAAGCATGAGTATTTCCCTGCTCGTCGTCGTTCTGATGTCTTCTTCTTCTTCTTTTTAAGCTCAGTGACCTCACCTTGGAATCCGCCGTTTCATGATATATTTGTTATTAAAACAAAAATACAATTAGTTTATAAATTTCGATATGATGGCCCACAACAGATAAGAGGTTAACGATGTCATACATTTCACTCTTAGTTTTAACACGTGCTCCTCCAGTCCTTAATATAGGACCCAATTGTTGAGTTGGTTTTGGTCCTAAATATAAGACCCATTTCTCATATTTATCAATTTTCTCTAAATTACCCCTATGGATACTCCCTTAACTATAATCAAGTAGAAGAGGAAGACGAGGTATTAAGAAAGATGATTATGGTATTTTAGGAAAAACGTGTCACATTTTTTATAATTAACTAACTTACCTAACTTCCTTAATCTAATCAAATTAGTTAAATGGATCTTATATTAAGGACCGGATGAGTATTGCTTATGCTGCTTTTACACACAAACACTAAATTTGCTAATATGATATATAATGCATATTACAAAATAGTAATACGTAAAAATCAGCGCGTCATTATTTTAACCGATATATTATACACATTCTCAGGTGAAATAGAAGAATCCGAACCAATGGCACACGAGGGATCAGGTGATTGTTTTATTTCAACGTCATTTGAATCAATAGCTGTCGAAAAAAATGGTATCTTGTGGAGAAACATGATTAAGTTAAGGAATATATCTCTGCAAAACCCGATGAGCACACAAATTGATTACCCGTATATTTACTTACTTAAATATAAACAATGTACGAGGATAGGCTGGGAACCACCGAGAGAGGGATGCGTGAAGTTCAACGTCCGAGGTTATTTCGACGCAAGCCGGGATACTAGAAGCTGTGGCGGGATTGCTAGAAATCATAATGGGAAAATAGTAGCACGCTTTATGTATAGACCACCAGCTGGTAGCTCGAGCCTCACCACGGAGCTCTGGGCAATCCTCTGGGCTCTGAAGGTTGCAAGGGACCTCGATTTGAAGGAAGTTGAAGTGGAATGCGAATGCACTGAGGCGGTGAAGGCCACAGGAGAGGGCGTTGATGGGAATCAACCTGATGTTGATGTTGTGAATGACATAATGAACAGGCTGAAGAGTGATGGTTGGGAGGTGGAAGTGAAGGAATGCAACAGAGACCAGAACAAGGCAGCCGATGCTCTCGCCCAATATGCTAGCTCTATGGTAACAAATTTGCATGTCATCTATGAAAGAGGACAGTCCTCGGCAACAACACAACAGCAGGAATCAGGTGATGAATGAATACAAACGCCCTTGTTTTTTTTTTTTTCCCCAGGTCATCCGGATCAATAGTTGTCAGATCAATGTGGTAACAGCGGTTTGGTTAGAGAAACATGGCTCGACATTTTTTTCCCGGTGAAGTTTTCAGTGCATCTTAATGTTCTAAATTGAAAGTCACAACTGTATGTGAAATCATACTCTTGCCTTGCTTTCTGGACAAAAGGGGTATCTTGTCAAGAAATTTGATCATTTTTTTTTATGCCCCAATTTTTGATAGGTACAATAATTAATAGGCAAATGTACTTACTTATATTTAAAATATTCATATTTTGTGAATACAAAACTTGATATTCTTCAAATAGATTTTTGCGAGTTAAAATTTGATGAAGGTATATATTGTTTCTTTGGTAGGTGTCGACGGTATACCACCACTGCAAGGTGAGTCGAAACAATACTGCGCGGTGGATCCTCTCGCGGGGCTTCCCCCTTACGATCTAGAGGACAATCAGGTAATCGAATCAGTACAAATGCTCTTATTTCTGTCTCATTTGGATCAATCTATAGCATTTGTGTTAATTACCAAAGGTTTGGTCAAAGGAAAAGAACTCGATACTTCTTGCAAGTAAAATTTAAGTTATGCAGGAATGTGCGTGCAAGTGTCTCTATTTATATGCATAGACATAGTAAACACATAATGATTTGAGAAATTTTTGAAACACGCACGATTAAGATATCTCTCCAAAACTTGACGAGTGCACAGTGATTGCTAGGCATATATATGTAGTTACTTACTAAAATATATGCAATGTACGAGGATAGGCTGGAAACCACCGAGAGAGGGATGTGTGAAGTTCAACGTGCGAGGTTGTTTCGACGACGCAGGGAGGGATACTAGAGGCTGTGGCGGGATTGCTAGAAATCATGATGGGAAAATAGTAGCACGCTTTGTGTATAGACCATCAGCTGCTAAGTCGAGCCTCAACACGGAGCTCTGGGCAATCCTTTGGGCTCTGAAGGTTGCAGAGGACCTCGGTTTGAAGGCAGTTGAAGTGGAAAGCGATTGCACTGAGGCGGTCCAGGCGGTCCAGGGAACAAGAGGGGCCGTTGTTGTGGATGACTCTGATGTTGGTGTTATGAATGATATAAAGAGGAGGAGAGATGATAGGGAGGTGGAAGTGAAGGAATGCAAGAAAGACCAGAACACGGCAGCCGAAGCCCTCGCCCAATATGCTAGCTCTATGGTCACAGATTTGCATGTCATCTATGAAAGGCCTCATAGGGCACCGGAATTAAGTCTTCACTTTCTTAATTGCGGAACTAGTTTGAACATCAGATCTGGACAGTCTAAATCTAATTTGTTGGTCAATATTTCAATTTTTTTATATAAAAAAATTATTTTGGAAAAAATTATAATTAAGATATTACCTTTATTTTAGATTCTATATCCATTAAAATAACTATTTTAAATGAATAAAAATGAAAAAAAAAATCAAATCTGGACCATACAAATTAGACCTGGACAATTCAGATCTAATGAGTTTAGGGTGCTCATCACCTTGATGAGTATCGAAACTGATTCCCTGTTAATTGCTTTTTATTATTTTAACCAATACATAACATTGCCAGGTGAAAGAGGACAGTCCTCACCAACAACACAACAACAGGAATCAGGTGAATGAATACAAACGCTCTTGTTCCCCCCCCCCCGGGTCATCCGGATCAATAGTCGTCAGATCAATGTGGTCACAGCGGTTTGGTTAGAGAAAAATGGCTCGATATTTTTTTTGCCGGTGAAGTTTTCAGTGCATCTTAATGTTATAAATTGAAAGTCACAACTGTATGTGAAATCATACTCTTGCCTTTCTTTTTTGGGAAAAAAGGGTATCTTGTCAAGAAATTTGATTAATTTTATTTTATGCCCCAATTTTTGATAGGTACAATAATTAATAGGCATGTGTACTTAAATTTAAAATATTCATATTTTGTGAATACAAAACTTGAGATTCTTCAAATAGAACTTTCCGAGTTAAAATTTGATGAAGGTATATATTGTTTCTTTGGTAGGTGTCAATAGTAAGCCACCACTGCAGGGTGAGTCGAAACAATACTGCAAGGTGGATCCTCTCGCCGGGCTGCCCCCCTTACCATCTAGAGGACAATCAGGTAATCGAATCAGTACAAATGCTCTTATTTCTGTCTCATTTGGATCAATATATAGCATTTGTGTCACTTAGCAAAGGTTTGGTCAAAGGAAAAGAACTCGATACATCTTGCAAGTAAAATTTTAAGTTATGCAGGAATGTGCGTGCAGGTGTCTGTATTTATATGCATAGACATAGTAAACACAGAACGATTTGAGAAATCTTTAAAACACACGCGATTTCCGGCACTTGCTATATATTGCCTTTTCTTTTGAAAAAATGGTATGTTGTCAAGGAAGTTGATTAAGGAAGAATTTCCACTCATTTTGATTGGCACAGTAATTCCAGGCATATCTACTTACTTAAATTTAAACATTTACGTTGTAAAAATAAAACTTCCCATTCCTCATAGAGCTTTGCCTCTTAAAATTTCATGAAGGCATATTTTTTCTAGTAGGGCATCATAATGAAGTTTTACTCGCGTTAATTGCTTTCCATTATTTTAACCAATATATTATGAACATTGCCAAGTGAAAGCGGACAATCCTCAACAACACAACAGGAGAAATCAGGTGAATGAATACAAAATTATTTCTTCGTTTCTTTCTGTGTTACTCGCAAGATAAATTTGATTTAGTTTTTGAAGGTTTTCCCCCCAATTTTTGATAAGTACAATAATTTATAGGCATATTGAATTACTTAAATTTCAAAAATTCATATTATCTTAACGAAACATGAGGTTCTTCAAATAGAACTTGCGAGTTAAAATTTCATGAAGGTATATTATTTCTTCACTAGTAGTGCATCATAATAATGAAGTTTTCACTCTTGTTAATTGCTTTTCATTATTTTAACCAATACATTATAAACCATAGTATAAATCTCTTGAATGCATAAACACATAAGCGTGTGTGTCTGTAGTTATATACGATTGTGGGTGGAAGTGTCTCTATTTACATACATAGACATAGTAACTACTTTATGATAAATCTTTAAAACACCCATGATTTCCAGGACATGCTATGTTTTCCCATATATTACATGGAGTTTGAAAAATGAGCTACATAACTTCATTTGCTTCGGCAACTTCATATTTAATGATACATGCGCCTGGATCCTTACAGGTGATGAAAGAAGACAGAAGAAAGATTTGTACCGTGCTATATGTGATGACAACTGGAATAAAGCGAAGCAAATTCTGGATCAAAACCCTCAATTTTTGACACCAGTAGCTCCTAGCCGAACACCACTTCATGTGGCTGCAATGATTGGGCATGTCACCGTAGTAGATAAGTTAGTGGAATTACCGTCTTCAGAATCCTTTGTAAACAAAGTAGATTCCAACGGTTATACAGCACTTGCATTGGCTTCTTGGTATAGTGGAAAAAATGAAGTTGTAGACTCTCTCCTGCGGTGCGAAGAAAATAACCGCATGGCCTGCATTGCAACCAAACATGATGAACTTCCTGTTGTACTGGCTTTTGACACAAATCGCATGATGCTAGGACATAAGCTTTATTCTCGCACTCCACTGGATCGCATCACCAACCGTCAGGGTGCTAAGCTTTTACGCATTTTGATTCAAACACAATGTTTCGGTATGTTATGTAATATATTAATTCTTTTCATTTCTTCACAAGTTTTTGATGCTCTAGTCAATTCGTGGCGTGACTATATATGTGTGTGTGCGCACGCGCGTGCGTGTGGTATATATGCAGGTCTTGCGCTGGATTTGCTTCAACATCACCGAGGATTGCTTTTAGTGGCCATCAATGATGAAGGGTGGACGCCAATTTATGAGATCGCAACCTTGAACACTGCTATCCTCAGCCCGAGTGAACTTCGTCATCGGAATAAACTCTTTCATGAGTATCTGCGTACGTGAGCAAATATTTCAAATGCTTTCCTTTGTTGTTCATTATGACGAGTACATTTTGTTTATACTATTTTCCCTCCATTCTTTAGATTGTAATATGCAGCATTACGATATATGTTGAACGTAGACTATATTAAAATGTGAATACAAGTCTCACACACACACACACACACACACACACAATTTCTAAAAGGTTTCTTTTATTTCCTTCGTCTTGATCGTAGCCAGAAGACAAACCGTACAGCATATAATTTTCAAAATATAATCAATGAGATGATCACTTTTGTGTAGGCTAACGATCAACCTAAAAAGAAATAGAATAAACGAAATGAGAAAACTTGAGTCAAAATATATTAACATAGAGAACTTGCCTTTTCATATTTTGTTTTATCTTATTTATTTATTATCTTCATTGTTATTTTTTTAATGACCTAATCTTTCGTTGTCTCTTTGTCTGTGTATGATATAAATATATTTTCAACCACAGCTATGAACAATGCTCCTGTGAACCCACCAGCAGAATATAGAAGTCAAGTTGCTCCGCCAGGTACAGAACAGAAATATTGTTGGGAGAATAGGAATATGTGGGCATTACACCCTATAACCATTGCGTTAATTTTCTAGAGTAATATTAATATGTCATATTTAGCTTGCCTCAGGGCATCAGAGCATTTTGCTTGTATGATTAATCAAAATCATGGTACGGAGTGTTACTCAATCCCTTTGATTGAGAAGAAATGAATTAAGAAAAATAGAATCAAAATATATTTAATTAACATAGAGGGCTTATTTTTTTGCAAGGTGTTTTATCTTACTTATTTATTATATTCATTGTTATTTATTTTTTTTAATGACCTCATTTTTGGTTGTATCATTGTCCACGCATGATATAAATATATTTTCAACCACAGCTGTGAACAATGTTCCTGTGAACCCACCAGCAGAGGATAGAAGTCAAGTTACTCCGCCAGGTACAAAACAGAAATATTGTTGAGAGAATAGGAATACTCTATAAATTTGTCGGCATTACACCCTGTAACCATTGTCATTAATTTTTTAAAGTAATGTTAATATGTCATAGTTAGCTTGCCTCAAGGCATATGATCATTTGGCACATATGATTAATCAAAATCATGGTCATATGCCTCAACGCATACGACCATTTGGCATATGACCCTTTGATTAACAATATTTTATCTCTTCAATACAAGATTTCTAGTTTAACATTTGTTCAGGAGAGGAATAAAAGTTTTGGTCTTAATTAACAGGGCATGGTTTACGACTATGTCTGTCTGAATGGGTTCCGGGTATGCATGTTAACTTTCATATCTTTTCAGTGAATTGGGTACTTGTTCAAGCTTAGTCTTAATTCTCGTAAATTAAATTAAACTAACTAAAAGATCCATGTGTGACGTGTATCAATCTAGGAGCTATGAAAAAGAGAGAGTCAAAGCGGTTGCGTGCACAAACGGATCAGCTTCTTAACCTAGTTTGTCAAAATGCAAGGGAAGCAAATCAAAACCAAGTCATAGATAAGGCTTTATGTCTTGCAGCTAAAGAAGGGAATGCTGAATTTGTGCTTCGAGTATCAAAAGAAATCCCACAGGTTTATCTCACTCCAACGTTGCTTTCGTGTTTTGAAGAAGCTCTTAAATATCGACAAGCTGAGGTTTTCAGCCTTATCCATGGGTTTCGCTTCAAGCATGGCCTGGTAACATCTAAAATTGATGTTGGTAGAAATACCTTGTTACATAAGGCAGCTGGAAAGGCTCCTAATCATGTTCTTAATCGCGTCTATTCACCTCTGCTGCAAATGCAAAATGAATTGCAATGGTTCAAGGTTAGAGAAAGACTTGTATTAGTTTTTTTGGTCATAATCTCTTGTAAGATTAAACATATCATAATTAAGTATTGCATAAATTAATCAATAATATACAGTTTGTCTGCACGCATTTGGGAATGTTCCCCTATGAGTTTCACTTTCTTTGGAGACATACTGAGTGTTCTAGAATCATTCAAAGGCATCACAATGAAAGTAATTAAATCTCATCATGAGGCCTGGCTTTGAACCACAGTTCTACCACTTTCTTTACTGATCGTCTTCTCTCAAACTAGTTATAGTAGTAGTTTGGATTTGATAAGAATGTGTAACGCACTACATTCTGAAACAAATGCAGGAGGTGGAGAGTTTAACGCCTCGAACCATTAGGGGAATTCGAAATAAGGATAACAAGACAGCCAGAGAAATATTCACAGAAGAGCACAGAGAGTTACTGAAGGAGGGAGAGAATTGGATAAAGGCCACTGCAACTTCTTATTCGCTTATTGGCATCCTAATTGTGACCATTATGTTTACAGCAGCTTATGCTTTTCGTGAAGAAAATGATCAAAATCCTGGATACCCACTTTTTAAGGTTTCACTCTTCTCAACCATATCATCACTTCTCTCTTCTTCAACTTCGGTTTTAATATTTCTAGCAGTCCTAAGCTCTCAGTACTCAGAGGAAAACTTCCTCAAAGCTATACCTTCATGTTTGCTTTGGGGTCTTTTCTTTCTTTTCATCTCCATTTTATGCATGATAATATCATGTCTTTCTACCATTCATCTCGTGTTGAAGCATACGGACTACTCGTGGGGTATCCTTCCCATTATCATACCTGCAGCTATTCCGATCGGCGTGTATGCCAGGTTACAATTCCCTCTTGCTTGGCAAACTTATCGTTCTACGTATGGCAAAGTCTTTAACAGGAGAGTGAAGAAGTGGCCATGAGATGAACTTGTAATTGATGTACCACTTTGTTCTTGTATTGTTTGAATAATTACGATTTCCTGTTCCTTGACAATTACATTGGCATGATCTTTAATATGAAAGGAAGCTGTGGTTGTGAAATTTATTTTTTTGAAGACAATTACATTGAGTAATGATGATGTTTCATTGTTCCTTGTCAATTCATTGAGTAAGTATTCGTGGTCATTTTTAATAATCTAAGCTTTCTTAAAAATTCTCTAAATATTGACCGAGTCAGATGGATTTGCAGGATGAACTATTTTTCAAGAGTTTCAGATTATGACTTTAAATTGATACTCTTTGAACGGTTCAAAGCTTCGAGGGAAAGACCTTAATACTTAGATATGGTGACAATGATAAATTAATGTTGCATAATGATAAATTACACAGTGACAATGATCTATTGTCACATCTTTATTTGAATTTTATTTTATTTTTTCCATCAAAAAAGGCCACATTGATCGATGACATCACACCTTGACGACAACTTTGACAGAATCTGGATGTCTCATTAGCTCAAATGCTTTGCTTATATCTTCCAAGTGGAAAAGTTCATGAATTGGAATTTCCTGTAATAAGAAAATTAATCTAGCACATGCAATAAGTGACAATATCTCTAAGCATATAATTAAGAATCGCCTTGTGCATCTGCATGTAGATACTTCAATTTAAAGGCTTTTCAGTAGACATAAATCTTTTGGAAATTTTGCTGATGATTAAATAAATAAAAACTCTCACATAGCTCATCTTTTCAAATTGATGCCAATTAACAAGCCCAGTTATTGCTTTTAAGATATACCATTATGCAGGCTTGTTGAGTTTTTACGGAACTTACACTGATATTTTTTTTCCCCTATTTTTCACAACACTTTTTTTCTTGAATTTCATCAAGGTTTTGCAAACCTGCTCTCCGTTTTTTCGTAACTTCCTCAAAATTTTCAAGATAAATATAAAGTTACACAAAATATCTCCTAGTTTTGCTATAATTACACAGATATTCTTTCTGTTATTTTAAAAATACATAGAAACTTCTCTTGAAAATAGATATATAAGAAGTTCGTATTACATGAAAGCAACTTGAATATCACTTATCTCACCTTAATTATTTAGTCCTTTTCATTTTCTTTTGATCAAATACTCAATACATTCTTTTCCAAAACAGAAATTATTCAAGCACATTGGACGGGTATTCCTGAAGTTTACCAGTAAATAATTTTATTTTAAATAAAGTAATTTCTTTTGCAAATATATATGATTGAACTTCTTTTAAAAAATTATTAAATTATGTCGTCGTTTTAAGTAAGAAAACTTAAACTCCTATATATATTTTTATTTGATTGGAGAAACTGGAGAATGCAATGCGCCACTTTAGCAGATTCCATGGCTTCATTTAGCAAAGAGGGAACTCCAGTACACTCAATAGAATAATCTACTCCCATTTCTCCACTTAGTTCTTTGACTTGTTGTGAAAGAGGTTTATCTGATAACTTGTCCCGATTTATGAAGTGAGTCGTTCCAAAAGCTCTTTTCTCTCTTCTTCTCATTTATGTCAATCCCAAATATCTTTGTTTCCCCCGTAAGTTTTGCTGCATTTACAGCCTGCATCATCACTAGCCATAATCTCTACTTTTGCACATATCACTTTCTAAGATAGTATGCTTATGGACTTAGTACCAATGCACTTAAACTTCATTATAAATTCATCATATATGTGCGAGTATTAATTGCATATATACACGTAAAGTGCACAAATGGTCATGCCCTTATCAACAAATCCATCACATAACATAAGTAGATTTAGATCGTGAACAGTATTTTTAAATACCATGCTCATGGGGTAACTTGTTAAAAAAATAAATCTATTCTAACCAAAATGAAACACACACACACAATAGGCTTTTGTTTATATTAAAATAATATGAGTCATGTTTACATTAACTTTTTCAGGTTGTTGTTTTTTCTTGTCCGATTTTCATAAATTATGGCTATAAACTATATTTTATATTTCCGAATCACATCATTCCAATTTAACTTGAAGAGTTTAAATTTATCTCTCTCTCTCTCTAATATTGGTTAAAAATATATTAATTTGAAATACGGCACGATTTAAAAATTAAATCAAGAAAGAAAGGACGAAATCAATGACAAAGACAAAAGAAAATTGAAGCAAAAGAAGGATGGAGCAAACCAGATTGGAAAAAAAGAAAAACAAATAGAAGACGAAGAAGAAAAATCAAAAAAGAATAAAGAAGAAAAGAAAAGAGAAAGCGCAAGGAAGATGAGCAGGGTGCCTTTTTCCGCTAATCCATTGACCCAAAAACAGGTCTTCCTCTTCTGCCCCTGCGCTTCTTACTAGCCAATATATTTAAATCTTATTAATGGACTGGTTAAATAACTCTTTGTCATTCCTATCGAAAAAGATGGCTCTTGTTATGAAAACATCTCTGATCATTACCAGTTGATATTTGTCTCAGCCCTCAATTTATTTTCAAGTGCATGTTAAATTAAATTACTTTTTCCATTTTCAATTCATATTAAAATAATAAAAGTCTGAACTACAAATATAACTCTGAGGCACGGTAGTAGGTTATGGTCTGAATTGTTTTGTTATAAATAAATAGATAACCTTTTATTATCATATTGATGATAAAATTATAAATTTATCTATCCGTGTTTACGATCAAATTTAATTGTTTAAATTATCATATTAAAATAACAAGAATAATTTTTATAAAGATAATTTAAATAAAATAATGTTAACAATACGCAAAATCAGACCGGACTGATGAACTGGGGAGCTAGAGAACTAACATTTTGACTAATCTGGAACTATACTGGAAACGGTGGCTCAGCGAGTTGGAATGAACAAGTCTTAAGAAAATCAAGAAAGAAAGAAGAGAAAACAATGAAGAAGACAAAAGAAAAATCGAAGCCAAAGAAGGAAGTAACAAAGTTAATATTAAAAAGAAGAAGAAGAAGAAGAAGAAGAAGAAATGGAAAGAAGAAAAGAAAAGAGAGAGCGCGAGAAAGAAGGCGACCATGTTGCCATGGTTGTTTCTTTTCGCAATTTTAAACCCAAATCTGCAGCTGTTTGCCTCATTATGTCTCCTCTCTTCAAAAACTTTTGACTTTTGACTTGAGGCTATATATTCTCATTCCTAAGGTTATAAGACATCTTGTAGAAAAATTTTTTGGTACTTACGATAGTTTCAATGCGTATTAAATTTTGTTTCATATATGTCATTATTCAATGGGGATAGTGAAAAAGTAGAAATTAATATCATCATGTTAAAATTTTGTGTAGTTAATAAGGACAAAATTGACAATCATTTAAATTTTATGACAAATTTAATGTTTTCAATTGTTTTTATCCGAAGGTAAGATTTAGTTATTACTCTCTTATAACTAATATTTTAAAAACCGAAACGGACATTAAACCATAAAAGCCAACGGGTCATGGTTTGTCTAGTCGGATTAATACTTAAACAAGTAACATAATATTACCTCCGGTCCTTAATATAAGAATTAGTTGGCTAATTTGAATAGATTAAGAAAATTAATTAAATCAGTTAATTGTAACAAAATAGGTGTTGTCTTTCTTACAATACCTTTACTAATCATATATGTTAGTTAGAATGATCATCTAATAAAACATTTAATATGTATAATTACTACAAATACTATCTTAAAAAATAGAGAAATATAAGAGCCAAAATAGATAGGAATCTTATATTTAGGAGAAAATTAAATGTCAAACTAACTCTTATATTCAGAAACAAATGTGGTAATTAAATAAAAATAAAAATATATGTTTATATAGTAATATTATATAAAAATAAGATAGGAAGTTATCAAATAATTTAAAAATCAACTTAAACAGCTCGTTTTATAATTTTTATTAACGAACTTATATGATAATAATATATCTCATAATGAGTAGTCATATAGTAAAAACACACGTTTAATTTTATATTAATTATTTTGGATAAAAATAAAAATGAATTAAACAACTGTAAATAAGTTTTAAAAATTTATAAAACTCAAAATGTAAACAAAAGCTGAAGCTGATGCTCAAAACACTCATAGTTAAAACAAAAGCCTCTTGCATAAAGGTTTGAAGTCATAACAGGGACAAGAGGGGCTCACGTATACCCCTTTTTCGGTTATTGAGCCAAAAGCAAGTCTGTCTTTCGCTTTTTCTTTCTGTTTTTTTTTTTTTTCCTTTTTGGATTGACGTTTTCAGCAGAAAACGCGCATTAGAAGAGGAGCGCGCATGATGGTGGCCGATGGAGGCTGAACAATTTTGCGAAGTTCAAATCTGCAAGGTTTTAAAAATAAAATTTTATTTTTTCATAAAGAAAATAAAATTTTAATTTTTACTTGAGTGAACAATGTTTGCGTAATTTTTTAATTAATTTTTATGCAAGTAATAAAATTTTAGAAAGATTAGGTTTAATTTAGTAAACTTGATTAATTCAAATTAATTTTAAAAATAAAATGTATGAAAAAATATAGGACGTTTGGATATTGATAATATAATATTTTTAAATTTATATTTAAATGTTTAATACTTTTAAATAATTTTAGTATTTATGATCCTCTCTCTTAAATATTGCTCCCTATTGGTCATTCTCTTTGATTCTTTCAAGTTAATTTGAGTAGTTTTTAGGATGCCAACGTGGAGAGAGAAAAAAATGACACTACGAAAAAGATAAAATTACTTATATCAAACATAATTATTTGATATTTATAAAAGTATCTAAAAAGAAAAATTTTAAATAATAAAATTTAGTAAAAATTTGGAAAAATTTTCCATTAAAAAATTTAATTAGTGAGAATGACTTGATACATTTTTACACATGTAGAGTATTGGTACTCTACATATTTTTAACACAAAGTACTAGGGTGTAGTACTCTGGTTTAAATCCTTTTACCAATTCAATTTCTCATAAAATTTAAGTATTTTAGTATGTTCAAATTTTCCCTTTAATATATTAAATATCTTTATAATTTTAATTTTAATATTTCTCTTAGAATTATCACATTAAATACATATAATATAAATATGTATTATTTAATAAAATTTATGTCCTTTTCAGTCATTTTATATTTAAACTTATTTGAATAAGTAATAAAAAATACATTGGCCTCCTTATTATTACTCATCCAAACAAGTTTCAGTTTGTTAAACTGACTTTTTAACAAAAATTAATTCAAATATAAATTATATTATATTAACATACTTTTACTCTAACTTAAGTTTATAAAAGACAGATTAAATAAAAGTTAATTTTGTTACCACTAATCCAAATACACCCGTATTGGTCTCCTCATTGTCTATATAACGCCTTTTTGTTTCATTGTTTGTTTGTTTTCTCCACACTCATATCTGCTTCTTAATGATACAGCTGTTAGTGCGTGAATCTTACCCCTTCTCACTTAGCAAACTCTAGTATGTTCCTTTCAAACACTAAAAGAAAGCCAATGGCATAATTTAATTCATTATGAAAAAGGTGGAAGTGTATAAATTACGTTGGTTTTAGTTAATATTAACAAATTTATGATGAACAGAACCAAAGAAATTGGCATATTGAAGAAACATAAGTCATGAAGAACGAAATTGAAATTGCAGGGTATTATATTAAAACAATATAGTTAGTAAGATACCTTTGCTTGTTATAACTTGAGGGCTGCTTGACATTTCACTTTATTACTAACTCAAAACAGAGGGAAGGCTTTGGCTTGCGGGATATATTTATACACGCCTAGATGTACATACATAGCTACGTGTATATATATATATATATATATATGTATGTATATATCCCTTTGCAACTTGCTATTATACCACTCCATGTGGAAACACAGATATCCCAAATTGTAAACCCACAAAGCCAGCGATGCGATTAAAATGCTTCTAGTGCAAAGCATGGGGCCACTGATGTTTTCAGCGGCGACACATATATTTTAATCGTGAGAGCTAGGACATCACCTAAATTCAAATCAAATTAGCGGGACGGAGCGTAAATTATTTTGCCATTATAATACTATAAGCGCTAATTAGAGATTTACTTTGATTCTAAATATAAAACCTTGATTCACTTTGTCTTTCATATTTATCTATTTTATTCCCAAGTAATCTTTATAGTGATGGCAAGAATTGTTTCAACGCACATAAGGAATTCAGCATCTCTTTATTATAAATAGCTAACTTAACTAAATTCTTTAATATTTATAAATTAATTATCTAACTTTTATATTATGGACTGCTATTTACTACAACTTACTAATTTAAATAATTTTTTTGATATTCGTAAATTAGTTATCTAGCTCTTATATTAAGAACTGAAGATATTAATTATTCAATATGTTTTACAGCTTGATACCAAATATATAAAGGGGAGAATTACAATAAAATCTCAGGAAAAAAAATTTACTAATAAGTGTTAATGACAAGTGAAAAGTTATTATTTACTACTCTAAAACTTATTGTTGCATACTACATATTGCTATGTTATTGCTGAGACTTCCTCTGTAATTTTACTTGAAACTTCTCTTTCAATTGTCCCAGTATGAAGCGAGAGATTCTACAACTTTATTGTGGAATATATTTGTAACTTTTTCTTTCTGTCATTGAATTGAAAGAGGCCACTTGGCCTAGACCTACCCCTCGTACTATATCTCTGAGACAAGATTGTCCGTGTGACTCTGCCTCTCTGCACAGTGCTCACTGCTCTCTTTGCGCCGCTGTCTTTGCCGGTCGTTCTTCACTCTCTAGTCTTTGCCTAACCTTGTTCGCTGTGGCCTTCTTTCTTTCCGGTTGCAACGTTGGCTACTGAGGAAAATTGGTAATGATTATTCTGTCGAAGATTGATCAACTTAGTTTAAGTGATTAATTGATGATTATGTGTTCCCAACATGTCTGTGTTTATTTGAATTAATTTATTTTGAGTTATTTTGTGTTTGTAATGCGAGAGCTTTGTTCCTCTGGTTCATTAATTCAAACTTCTATATGTGAGAGAGTGGGATATATATCCTCAAGTGTGATACGTATAAAGCCTTCTCCAATGGTGTTCCCACTGGCATTCTCATCTCATGCTTCATCCCCTTCGATTCTTCTTACTGAGTCACCCATTCTCAGTGTTTCTTTCATCACATACTCTATCGTTCTTCTCTCTAGTCTCTCTCTCTCTCTTCTCGCTATACTTACCATAGCCCTGAAAGCCTCGGCCTTTTAGCAAACCTTAAACAAAGCGTATAAGGATTTCTCTGCTCTTCATTATTCTGATTCTTCATTGGTGGTGAGGTGCATGACTTGCTCTGATTTTGAGAAATTGATATTTTCATGAACGTCTTTTTCTTTTCTTCTTTCTAAGCTCAGTGAGCAAACCTTGGAATCCCCTGTTTCACGATATTTTTTTGTTATTCGAACAAAAATACAATTGGTTCATAAATTTCGATATGATGGCACACTACAGACAAGAGATTAAGAATGTCATGATGCGAACAATTTGAGTTTTGTTGTTTATTGTTTATTGTTGTTCCTCTGGTCGATTTGCAGCCATAACTTGTTTGATCTGGGCTGAAGGTCGAGGGAACCAGTTATTGTTTTTTATTTTTTTGCCAACCATTATTGTTTTTATTAATCCATCATCTATGCTTCCATCTTTTTGTGTGCAAACTAATTAATAAGAGCTTTAACACGTGTTGATCTTACAGATCTCTCTCGTTGTCATTATAAGAGTATTATATAGATCCCCTAAATGTCGACATTGGGAGGTGACTTGGAACAAAACGCGCTGATCGACTTGGACCCTCTCGTGGGGGTGCACCGTCCGTCACCTGGTGGCTCTTCGGCAAGGCCACACGAGGACTCAGGTGAATGAGTACAAAAACTCTTCTTTTTTCTGTGTCATTTGGACCAATAGACGTCAAAAAAAAAATTCCTAGCATTGCGTTAACAAAGGTTTGGTCAAAGAAAAAGGACCCCATATATTTCTAAAGTACTCCTCCCGTGCTACCTGCTTTTAAGTAATTTTATTAAATTTTTATAATAGATATATTATTTTGCTTTTTATTTATTATAATGTAGATAGTTATTTTTTAAAAAAAAGTGTATATATTAAATAGAAGTAAAGTTAAAAAAAATTGTTATATTTTAATAGATAATTAATATAGTTTAAGATTTTTCTTGGTCTGTTTAAAACATGCTATAAGTGCCTTATAAATAGAATTGGAGAAGTAAAATTTTGAGTTCTTTTTAATGTTGTAAATAGAAAAATCAAAATCATTCAGGAACTCAAACTATTGCCTTTTTGTTGTCAAGAAATCTTAATAAGTAAGGTCTTTCCCCAAATTTTGTTGGGTATATACATTAATTAATAGGCATATTTACTTAATTAAATTTAAATAATTTATGTTTATATTATCAAAATAAAACTTGCTTCTTCATATGGATATTTGCATCTTAAAATTTCATGAAGTTTTTTCTCTTTAGTATTAATGCATCATAATGAAGTTTTCACTTTGGCAATTGCTTTTCATTATTTTAATAAATACTGCCTTGGTTGCTTTTTATAAGAAACAATTAAGCAAATCGTATTGATAAAAAAAATTAGTTAAAATTGGTCAGAAACAAATAGGTAAAAATTGTAACTTTTTTCCCTCAAAAATACCTTTATTTACAGGGAGAGATAATATAAAGAAGAAAATAAGAAAATTATTAAAATATAAAAAGGATTGTGATGGGAGAGAATGCGCAGTTAAAAGAATGCTTGGCATGTGATAATAAATGTATTGATATTAAAATGAGTAACTAACTGAGGGCAAAATGAGAAATTAACAACAAAAATTTGGGACATCCTCTAAATATTTCCCATGAATGGGAACAAATCATAAGTAGTAATTGTTTCTTATAAAAAGAAATGGAGGGCCATAAACATGTAAATCTCCTCATCCTTAAGATGCATTTAACAATAATTGAACACAACCACCTTTTCAATATATTATTCAAAATACTTATCCCATGCCATGTATATGGGCAGTAACAAATACTATAAAGTACCCTATATATGCCAATATCTCAAGTAGTATGTATTCATTTAATCATTCAGGTGAGGAAAGGGCATGGAAGGAGGATTTGTGCCATGCCATATGCGGTAACAAGTGGAGTGATGCGAAAGCAATTCTCGATCAAAACCCTAATGCTTTGACTTCAGTAGTTTCTCATAATGGCAGAACAGCACTTCATGTGGCTGCAATGATTGGGCACGTGACCATAGTGGAGGAGTTGCTCAAATTACTGCCTCCACAATTCCTTCTAACTCTTGATTCTGACGGGAATACAGCACTTGTAATGGCTAGTTGGTTCAGTGGAAATACTGAAGTAGCAAAATGCCTCGTAAGCAAGAACAGCCGCGTGCTTGAAATTCCAGACATGGTTGGTGATCTTCCTGTTATAGTGGCTTTTGCAAAGGGTTACCAAGAAATGGGACGTTATCTTTATTTCGTCACTCCAATGGAATGCCTCCCAGGCCGTTGGGGTTCTAGGCTGCTTCTTCATTGTTTACATGCACAATGCTTTGGTATGTTATATATGTAATATTGCTTCTTTTAATTTGTTTTTTATGCTCTTGTCAGTTCATGCCATGACTATACATATGCAGATATTGCGCTGAATTTGCTTCAACAATGTGAAGAATTGCTTTTAGTGCCCTTTAACAATTTAGGGACGACGCCTATTCGTGTGATCGCAACCTTGAACACTGCTATTCGTAGCCCAGGGGAACTTATCTTTTGGAAACGATGGATATATAATTGTTAGTATCAATGGACTTGAGTTTATATATATATATATATATATATATCTAATGCTTTCCTTTATTTTTCACTATCATTATGTGTATTTTTTTATGTTATTTTCTCTTCGTTCTTTCATTTTTTTTTATTTCTGGTGCAAATTTTCTCTCGTTCCTTAGATTGTAGCATATAACACATTACGATCGAAAACGGAGACTATATGAATACGAGCCTCACACACACACTTGCTGATAGGTAATTTTCTTGGTTTTGATTGTAATCAGTAAAGAAACCCTACAGAATATAATTTAGAAAAATCAATGAGATGATTACAATTGAATAGGCTAAAGATCAACCTCTAAATAAATAAAATAAGTAGAAGAAAACTTGATTCAGAATACATTTAATTAACGTAGAGAACATGTTTTTTCATTTGTTGTTTTATCTTATTTATTTATCATCATCATTACTATTAATGCATTTTTAACGACGTGACCGTTCGTTGTTTCTTTGCCCATGTAAGACGTAAATATACCTTCAACCACAGCTACCAGTCATGTTTGCGTGGACATCCGACAAGAAGATAGAAGTCAAGGGGATAAAGAAAAACTTACCGAGGCAGGTATGTTTCAAAAATATTGTTTGAAGAATGTGTAAGAATAACATATAAATTTGTAGGCATTAAGACGTGTAACTTTTACTTTGCTTTTCCTAAAGTAATATTATAATATTAATATATTATGCTTCCCCCATTCCTAAATTTAAGAGCTAGTAAAGAGATTTATTTTTGTTCTAAATGTAAGATCTCAGTTCACTTTATCTACTAAATTTATAATTTTTTTTTAAATTTCCTTGTTGATTGCATATATTAAGAGTGTTTTCCGTCAAAAGAGTAGTTTACAATACATGATTATAAGGAGTACTTTAGGAAAATTAACACACTTTAAAAAAAAAACTAAAATAACCTAATTTTCTTAATCTGCTGTAAATTAGTTATTAAGTTTCTACATTTTAGGACATGATGGAGTAGTTATGTCGTGTCAAGTAACATGACCATTTCGCATATATGATTGCTCAAAATCATGATAAAGAATCATGCTCAAAAATAAGTACAACTCTCTCCTTCGATTAACAGCATGTTATATGTACAATACAAGATTTCTATTTTAGCATTTGTTCAGAAGAGTAATAAAAAAGTTTGTCTTAATTAACAGGGCATGGTTTACTCCCAAAGCTCATCACCTCCACCGATAATTTTGTAGGTATGGATGCTAACTTTCATCTCTCTTCAAAGAATTGGTTACATGTCCAAGCTTACTCTTAACTTTCATAAATCAGATTAAACTAACTAAAAGATCCATGTGTGATGCGTATCAATGTAGGAGTAAGAAAATACAAGAGTTAAAGCTGCTGCATGCACAAGCAGATGAACTTCTTCTCCTAGTTTGCAAGAATGCAGGGAAGGCATACCAAAAGGGAGTTATAAAGGAGGCTTTATGTCTTGCAGCTAAAGAAGGGAATGTGGAGTTTGTGTTTCAAGTATCAAAAGTAATCCCAGAGATTTTCCTCGATCAGACATTGCTTATGTGTTTCGATGAAGCTCTTCACTATCGACAAGCTAGGGTTTTCAATCTTATCCATGGGCTTCGCTTCAAGCACGGGCTGGTAACAACTACACCTGATCATAATGGAAATTACTTGATGCATAAGGCAGCTATGAAGGCTCCTGATCACGTTCTTAATCGTATCTACGCACCTACACTACAAATGCAAAGAGAACTACAATGGTTCAAGGTTAGAGAAAGACATGATTTAATTTTTAAATCATAATCTCATATAAGATTGAATCTGTTATAATTGAGTATTGCATAAATTAATCAATTAAGTACAACTTGTCAGCAAGTATTTGAGACTGTTCTCCTATACGAGTTCCACTTTCTTTAAAGGCATGTTGAGTGTTCTAGAATAATTAAAGGCATCACAAAACTAGTAAATCTCATGATGCCCGGCTTTGAACCAAAGTTCCACTTCCTTTGTCGTTTTCTCCCAAACCGGTTATATAGTAGAGTCTATCTGGTCTTGACAAGAAGAACATAAAGGCAATACTTTTTGAAATAAATGCAGGAAGTGGAGAGTTTAACACCTCCAAGCTATAGAATATTTCGAAACAAAAATGGTATGACAGCTGAAGAATTATTCAGAGGAAGTCATGGAGAGTTAATGAAGCAAGGAGAGAAATGGATAAAGACCACAGCATCTTCATGTTCAGTTGTTGGTACCCTAATTGTGACAATTATGTTTGCGGTAGCATTTACTGTTCCAGGAGGAAATGATCAAAATCTTGGATACCCATTATTCATCAAACAACCATTTTTTAAGGTCTTCATATTCTCAACCATATTATCACTTCTCTCTTCTTCAACTTCGGTTCTAATGTTTCTAGCAATCCTTACCTCTCAATTTTCAGAAGAAAAGTTCCTCAAATCCTTACCTACAAAATTGATTTTGGGTCTTTCTTTTCTTTTTATCTCCATTGTAAGTATGATAGTAGCCTTTCTTTGTACCATTCGTCTCATGTTGAAGCATACAAACTACTCATGGGGTGTCCTTCCCATTACTATACTTGCAAGTGTTCCGATCGTCCTTTTTGTGATGTCAGAATTCCCTCTTCTTCTTCACACTTTTGTTTCTACGTATGGGAACATCTTTGACAGGAAAGTGGAGCCATGGCCATAAGACGGATTTGTAATTGATGTACCACTTTGTTCTTGTATTATTTGAACAATTACGATTTGATATTTCTAGTCAATTACATTGAGATGATCATTAATAGGAAAGGGAGCTGTGGCTGTGATATCTACTTCTTCTTTTTTTTCAATTGAATGTTTACATTGAGCAATCATGATGCTTCACTGTTTCTTGTCAATTACATTGATTAACCATGGTCATTGTTTGCTAAAGTGCCTCTAATAAAACTGTAATAATCTAGGCTTTCTTATAATTCTTTAAATATTAACGGAGTCAAATTGACTTGGAGGATAAATTAAGTTTCAAAAATTGCAGATTATGACTTTAAATGGATGCTCTCAGAGAATTTCTTTTCAAATTAAGCGGTGAGAAGAGAGGAAGATTAATGTAATACTACTCTAGTAATAAATATGATGCTCATTTTGTAATGTAAACTACATTACTACATGAGTCTTGTATTTAAGATCGAAGGAGTATTTAACATGGTGTATCTTATATTATTGTTGCATAATGATAAATTACGTGCATTATGTCAATCTCTTTCCCACGTGTCATTCTTTATTTGAAATTTAGTTCCTTTTCTCCCCCAAAGATCACAATGACCTATGATGTCATATCTTGATCACAACTTTGACGCAATATGGATGTCTCATTAGCCCAAATGCTTTGCTTATATCTTCCAAGTGGATCTCATGGGTTAAAAGTTCATGAATTGGAATTTCCTGTAATAAGAAAATTAACCTATTAATTAGCAAATACCAAGTGACAATATCTCTGAGCATATTAAGAATCACCTTGTGCATCTGAATGTAGATATGTGCTGTAGAAGCTTTTCAGTAGACATAATTCTCTTAGAAATTTTGCTGATTAAATGTTACAAGAAATGTCACATGGATAATCTTTTCAAATCGATGCCATTTTCATAAGCCCAGTGATTACTTGAAGATATTATTATGCAGGCTTGCTTGAGTTCTTATGAAAATTATTATACTGATCTCTTCTCGATTTTTAACATACTTTTTTCCTTGAATTTCGTCAAAATTATGCAAACATAATCCCATTTTTTCAAAACTTCCTCAATTTTTTTTCAAGATAAAGATAAAATTACACATACTATCTTAGATATTCTTTCTATTTTAAAAAATACATAGAAACTTCTCTTGAAAATAGATATATAAGAAGTTCGTATTACATTGGAGGGGATTACAATTTTTAGTGTTTTTAAGAAAAATATACATAGCTTTTAGAAATTACTCATCAGAAAATTTCTACAAAATTTTTTTTTAAAAAAAATCAATTTATTTACTCTATTTTCAATTCACTGTTATCAGCCTAAAATGAAAGAGGATTATTTGTCCAAAATTTATTTTAGATACTAACCTTTGTGTGACACTTGTGAGCTATAAAAGGAAGATCAGAGATGGGCTTTATTCCTCCAAATACAGAACCTTTCAATGTTCTTCCATAAAGAATGGTGCCATAACTCAACTGCACAGATTCAGCTCCTGCACCTACCACTACAGTTTTGCCCACTCCCTGTACAGATATTGCATGAGAACAACTTGAATATCACCTATTTCACCATTAATTAATAGGTAAATTTCACTATTTGTTTACTCTTTTTCATTTTCTTTTGGTCAAATACTCAATACCTATCTAATTATTTTGTCGTTTTATAAGTAAGAAAACTTATGCTATTAGACCTATAGTTTTTATGCAGGCGGAGAAATTGGAGAATGAAATGTACCACTTTAGTAGATTCCATGGCTTCGTTGAGCAAAGAGGGAACTCCCGTGCATTCAATAGAATAATCCACTCCCCCTATTTCACCACTTAGTTCTTTGACTTCCTCTGAAAGAGGTTTATCTGATAACTTGTCAGGATTTATGAAGTGTGTCATTCCAAAAGCTTCTCCCTTTTCTCTCTTCTTCTCATTTTTGTCGATCCCAATTATCTTCGTTGCCCCCATCAATTTTGCTGCACTTACAGCCTGCATCATTGCTAGCCATAATCTCTACTTGTGCTCATATCACCTACTAAGAAAGTACATATGCAATCCACCTAGTACCAATGCACTTGAACTTCATTATAAATTCATCATATATGTGCGAGTACTAATTGCATATGTATACGTAAAAATTTAACCCTATCTGAAGAAATAGGACTTCAAATCCCATATTGAAGAGTAATATATGTCTAAGCTAAGTGAGGATAAATGTGAGTGTATTAGAATTACTCCATTTGGTCCACAATATAAGTTGCTTCTAAAAGAATAGATTGGTCCAAAATATAAATTAATGTTTATTTGTCAAATTTGTCCCTGCAATTAATACTTAAATTAAACTCCTAATATTTTTTCCCCTATTTTTCACAATCTCATTTAATATGGGTAAAGTTATAAATAAATTTGAATTTGAGATCGATTATTTAATGAGCTCACTACGATTTCTTGGTTTTGATGAATTAGTTAAAATGACTTATATTGTGGATTGAAAAGAATATATGATTATACTCCCTCTGATCCCTAGCATAAGACACTTCTTAAAAGGAAAGAAGGTTTCTTGTTATGAATCACAAAACAATATATTAATCACATTTCCCAAAGTTGCTCCTACTTAAAAGTTTGATGCAATTTTCCTTTTTAACTTCTCAAGATGTAATTCATAATTCTAAATATGGGAAAATTTGGAAACTTTTTTTTCATTTTGAAAAATATTTAATGACTCAACATGGTTTTGATGAAGTGCAGTCGGACTTGCTCTTATGTGAGAAAGAGAGCATAATGCTAAATTCAAACCTTGGGAATTAAAAAAAAATACATTGATAAAGTTATCCCATAAAAGAAGTACTCATCATCTAATATACCACATACAAAATAGTAAATTTGTACTCAATGAGAGAACTCATGCATAATATCAGCAGATCAAAGAGAGAGATGCATACCCCTAATCCAACAGCACCAAGACCAAAAACAGCAACACTGGATCCTTCTTCAACCATGGCTTCTTTCCAGGCAGCCCCAAAACCAGTAGAGAAACCACAAGAGATGAAGCTGCCATGAGCTGCATCAATGGCTGATGATTCAACTTTAAGAACATAGTTAGCATCAATGACCATATACTCACACCATGTGGCACAACTCATGAGATGATATGCCTTTTGACCTCTCACAGACATTCTAGAAGTGTTGTCTGCCATCAACCCATTCAACCTTATAGGGTATCTCATGCATAAGTTGGTCTTCCCTTTTATGCAAACCTCACATTCTCCACACTCTGATAGGTACAGTGGAATCACCATATCCCCTACCTTCACATTCTTCACTTCCTCCCCTTTGCTCTCCACAACACTGCATTTAATAAATATATTTTTCATTCATCATCATAAGTTTGAAGAATTTTAAAAGTGTAATTTATTCAAGTTACACTTTTACTTGGCTCATTATTTTAAATCTAAATCTAAATCATATCCTAGGTTACTACTTAATACATCATGAGAGTTTGGCCCGTATTATTATTTTTTCAGATAATTTTTAAATATTTATTTTCTTTATTAAGAGCTAGAGTTGACCAACATATTCTTCTGGGTTATAAAAATATTTTCGTTAATCTGTTAAAATTTTTTAATACTATTCTATCTTGCTAAATATATATGTAATATTTTTATATCACATAAATTAATGAACATATAAATGTTTTGATCAAATCAGATAATTAAGTTTTTTATTTTTAATTCCAAAGAAAATTAGAGTAACGATTAATATATCTAATAAAATAAAAAATTATTTTTTTTAAAAAAAAGAAAAAGTTCACATGTAATATAAGTATTTTTTAGAAAAGTAATTAATCTATTAAATTAATTGCCGTGGCTGCACTCAGGCAAAAAGTCAAGCCTACCTCCCTTCACATGATGATACGCCAAATATATAATTTCTTATGTCACTATTCTTTCGAAATTGACTTTTCTATTGCAACCACCTGGCTAAATTGACTTGGACTTTGGAAACGTTTTCTGAGGACATTATTTTGAAAATAATTAAGAGAGAAAAGTAAAATTAATTTCATAGAAGGAATTAACAAAAAATATAGTATAATCAATATATAATAATAATATTGTACCGATAAAAGAAGCATCATTATAAGCTTACAATTTATTTTGGCTTAAACACAAGAAAGGACTGCAGTTTATAGAGCTCACCCAATTCCTTCATGGCCTAGAACTTGAGGATAATTGGCCTGCACACCAATAATTGAAGACAAATAACAGAAGAAGAAAATAACGTATGATTATTGACTTTGACCACATCAAGCTCGAACTCAAGATTAATATGAATATGTGTTAATTAGGTGGAACTTTTTTTTTCCTTTATGGACCTTATACAAACGCTAACTTGTTTTGCTACGGAATTTTCTCTAGTTTTAAAATCAATGCAAAATTTCTTAAAAAATATATTAGAGTACGAAAACCTCTGTTAAGTTTGTTAAAACAACCAAAAATATCTCCATTTTTAAAATCAAACCGGACTTGAGTTTTCTATAGTTATATATGGGCTACCTTCTATGTTAAAAACTTCAACCGTGAATTTCCATGAATTACTTAGATTTCTCATCTATTTACAATTAAAATTTTAGATAAATTGTGCCCACAATCTGGTTTTGAAAATATATGAAGGAATCTACATAATTTTAACAATTTAAATGATGAATATCTATGCAATTCCTCTCAATATAAAGGGATCAGATGACTAACATGTGGGAGTCCTTGAGTGGCAAAGATGTCTGAATGGCAAACACTAGCACAAAGCATCTTAACTCGAACTTCTGAAGCTTTTGGAGGCTCTACTTCTATCTCCTCCTCCTTCACTCCCTCTCCTATTGCCCAACATATGGCACCTATACAACCACAATACAAACTGAAAATCACCTGAGTACATCTAATCTGAACAGTCTAGATCGAATATATATACATATCTATATCTTCATCATATATTATTTCTTCTGAAAACCAGCGCAGGGGCGCAAAAGTAAATCATAGGAAGATATGAATAAATATAAAATTGATACCTTTGCAAGTGATAGCCTGTGGTGAGGAGCTCATTGGCAGAGCCTCCGTGAATATAATTAATACAGAATTTGACTGGTCAGAAGAAGAGGAGGAGGAGGAGGAGGAAGAAGGACAAGGAGAAGGAGCTAGAGTGACACTATGAAGAAATCCAACTACTATATGTATAACTGTGTGTGTGTGTGTATAATGGATGAAGTTATAACAAAAATAAATAAATTTATGACGATTGTTTGTTTACAACTTCGAGTCCTGCCGGCTGCTATTTCCATATAATTAAATGAAGCTCATTTTGACTCGTCCTTCATTTTTTTTAAGGAAAGTAATCGCTTTCACATCTCACTATTACAAGATGAAACAAATTTTTTAATACTATTTTTTGGAATGATATATATTATCAGCAATAATAATGCAAATTAACTAAGTCATGCCTAACCATGATTGCCCTGATAAGGGTAAAATAGATGGTCATTATAAAATTTATTAATTTATTATTCATTTTATTTTTTCCAAGTTTGTGTATAAATTTTTATACCGATGTATGTACGCAATGAAAAGAACCGATTATTTAATTGTTGGTAGATCGCTCGCGGCTTTCACAACGAGATTAAGGTAAACATGACTTTGAATTGAGCTTAATTTTTGAATAATATATAGGTAATTGTTTTTCTTACATGTCACTCTAAATCAGAAACAGAATCAAAAAGCTAGTAATGCACTCCATTGAACACGACCCGATAATATTTTTTTTACCTGATCTTTCATGACATATATGTTTTATAAGAACAATTTTATTGTCCATACGACGTGATGAATCAACAATTAAAGACATCGATAATTTTTTAATGATGTAACTTCGACCATCCTGGAAGTATTATGAAACGAAATAGACTGAAAAAAAATAAAGATATAAATTTATTTTATAAATAGTGGATAAGTAGTTGGAGGAAATTGTTTTGGAATATATCAACCATTATTGCTATGTTTTAGACTGCTGTGGTTGAGTGGTGTATTTTTGTCTTGCCATATCTGTGTAGGCTTACAGCTGGGGCCACTTTGATATTTTTCTCTTTTCCACTTAAACCTCAGAAACACTTGGTAATGTGAGAGAATTCAAACTTTAATGAGTGGACGACAAAATTGAAAGTAAAAAATAATTTTAAATTCTTGTCATCATGTCAATTTTAAAATTCTTGTAATTTATAATCTTTTCCGTAAACTAATTTATCTTACTTTTAATTTATCTAATAATTTAATGTTTAAAACCATCTATGTAACCATTGGCCCAAAAAATCATTTACTTCTCCTGTGCTAAATATAAGACTCCTTTTATAGTGTAATTTTAACTACAAAAAAGGTTTTATATTTAAGACTGGAAGAGTATATAATCTTCAACTGTTTAGAGCCTGTCCTTAGATTTGGTAACCATTGAATATACTCTCTCTCTCTCTCTCTCTCACTATGTATATGATCTGACACAAATAGTTGGAAAAAGAAGACTCCTATGTTATCAGATTAATTAAGAATCAAAAAGTGTTTGCATGAATATCAAATCATGATTCTAAAAGTAATTTTTCAATATATGAAATAAATATGTGGATAATTTTATCTCAATTTGTAAAAAAATATTTCTTAAAAGCATTTTCTTAGTTACCAAAACATCCTAAGAAAACGAAAATGAACGTTGAACTTCATTTCAGATTATTGGAAGCCCAAAATAAACCTATAATAAACAGCACCAGCTCAACATTGGATATTTATGGGTCAAGCCTGTAGCTTCAATATGAGCCTGATGGGCTGAAGTAGCATGGTATTAAGGCCCAAGTCGAGGCCCATTTGTGGGACTATTTCACTTGCCGAATTGCCCAGGGTGGAGATGTGAAGTGTAATTACAATGTGTCCAACTGAAGATGCAAGCGGAAGGACTCCATTATTATATAACGATAACGTACAATTCACCTATCTTGCCCTGGTTAAAGGAGTTATGAAATAAGGAGGTTTAATCTTCTATGGGGTAATGTAATATTGTGGAAAAGGGAGTGATTAACTGAAAAAAAAAAGGTTAATATTATTATTTGCCCTTACAATTTGACTTAATTTTAGTTTAATCCTGTAATTTTAAGTCGATGGTTTTGGTTATTATAGTTTTATAAGGACTTAGCTATTGGTCCTTGGTGGTTTCTAGTAACACAAAAGCTTTTTTTTAAAAAAAATCACGTCAATTGAGTCATGAGAATTTATCAAAGCTAGGATATGCCTCCAAATTCAGAGAGTATTTACAAAGATATTTACAGATTACCCATTAACAAAGTCCTCATATTAGTAACAAGATTTGAACTCACAATCTTAAAGGTTATAAGCCGACTTCTTACTGATTATACTTTTATGAGTAATTTAGATAATTTCTTCTCAAATTAGGTGGTGAAGACCTTGATAGTCTATTATCAATCAGGAAGTATATTAAAAAAAGTTCCACTTGGCCAAAAATAAAAGATTGTTCTTTTAATTAATTATAGTCTAGATCTAGATATAATAGTTGGCAAAAAAAATGTAAATATAATAGAAAACAAGGGGAATAAAAATAGGTGGAAAAGTAAATAAGAGGTGTTTGACAACCTCCAAATCATGGTTTCAGAAATATTTTTCTACAAAACGAGACAAATTCCTTTACATATTTACTTCATAAATTGTAAAAACATTTCTGAAACCATGTATATCCAAACACCTCTTAAATAAATAAATTCCCCCAAACTGCGGTTGGAAATTGCAATGGCGGACATGTATACAGCGGATAAATACAAACAGCCAAACATATTCGGAGACAAAAATCGCGTGAAATTCAATCCCAAGGCCAAATTGTGGCGTACGCGGCTTCTCTACACTTCTCTTCTCCGAATCAAATATTCCACCACACAGTTTCTAATTCTCCATCGTCATCATCATCATCATCTCTGTCTCTTTCTCGTTTTTATTTCGAATTCTTTCTTCGATTTCAAGCCACTATGTGATTTGGTGGTTGAGGCATTGTATTTGTACTGTACCAAATTTAGCGTTCTGGGTTTTCTATCCAATGAATTATGTCAATGAAGCTGCACTTGTCGAACCCATGTTGTTAGCAGATGGAAAGCGGTGACGATACGAAATCAAAGGTATTTCGTCTATCGCAACCTAGCTGAGCGAGTTCCTTTTCATTTCTGCCTTTTTCTTTGATTGTCTTAGTGAGAAGGTGTACTTTAATATTGGTTGGCGTTACTACTTTTTGGCTCCATTTTGTTGCGCTAGTTTATTCGTGGGAGAAACAGTAGGAGAAGAAAAGTAAAAGTAGCCTCTAAAATCAGACATCTGCAGTTTCCTGATTCTCAATTTTTTTTTTTCGGGTTTACCGTTTTGTTTCCCTTTTGACTTCTTTTTTTGGAGTAAGGAAGCTCATATAAAATAATTTGGGGTTAGCATATTGAAGTTGAGGAAACCTACACTAGTGTCAGTATTCCTTGTAAAAGGAATAATGCAATTAGGCTTCTGGCAAGTTTTTGTAGTTTGTAAATGTAAATTAAGTTGCTGAACATGCAAGTGGAGGTGTTGGGAAATGCATGGTGTTCCATTTAATTGACTTGTATAGATAACAACTTGGTTAATCTTGGCTGTGGTTCATGTTGACTTGTGTGGATACACCTACTTTGATCAGCTGCTTCAAAAATCTTTATCTCGCTCATCTATAAGTTCTGTGCTTGAAATTTGCAAAACAATGTGTTGGAAATCCAATATACTTTTTTTTTTTTTTGGTGGCCGGGGGGGTGTTTCTAAACAATTTCCAACTCCCAATTTGGAGTTTGTAAGTACAATACGCTCTCACACTGTGATCATTACTGCAGTTTGCGGAAGTTTAATGATGAACTTAAAAAGTGCTCTGCACATATGTTGAAAGCTACTCACTGTAATTCACTGGCTTTCCTCCAGCTATATGTTTCATTATGCTTTAATCCTTTATGAGTTTACATGCCTAGAGATTGTCATGGTCTTCATTTGAATATTCTCCTTTATCAATAAGACTGTCATGGTCTTCATTTGAATATTCTCCTTTATCAATATGATTTTGGAAACCTCTTATATCTCCAAGGTAGTCAAAGGTGAAAGGTGTCCTTGCAGCACTAGATCTCTAAAATACTTTAGGCAACAAGGCCTCAAAATGTACATGTCTAATGAGTTAGATAATTATCTATTGAGCGTATCATTTCTGCATTAGATGATTAACTTTTTGGATTCATATCATAACTTCACGGCTTGAACTATTATCATCATAAATCATATCTTTAGCTGAAACTATCATGCACAGTAATAATCTCCTATCTCAAACTTTAGTCTTGAGTTAGATAGCTTTTGTTCCTTAAAGTTCAAATTCTATGTTTATCATGCCTCGATAATGTTTGAAGTGTTCTATTGATTGATGAGTTCTTGATGTTGATCTTTACATTGTTTCAAGGATTTTTACAAAGTGTTGGAGGTTGATTATGATGCAACTGATGAAAATATCAAATTCAATTACCGAAGGCTTGCACTGGTTGGTTCGCTATCCTTTATTGATAGCTCCTGGAGTGGTTCTCTCTATGCTTTTTCATTCTGTAGTTTCTTTTTACTAGAAGTTTGAGTTCTCACTCATCCCTGATTGTGCTTGGATTGTTGTAGAAATGGCATCCTGACAAGCACAGAGGTGATAGTGCTGTTACTGCAAAATTCCAAGAAATCAATGAGGCTTACAATGGTAACCATAAACTCTTTTATTAATAATAAAATATTCTGTTCCCATGTCTTTGTCAATGTTCATGTGGATTTGAAATGTAGTCTTTCTTGGGTTGTTTGGTGCTCTTACTCTTGTTGGCCCATTGTTTTGTTATTTTCTTTTCCTTTTCTGATCCCCTTTTGTCGTAAACTAATTTCAGGAGTGTATAAACCTAAGATTTGTTTCCTAGTTGGGAGTTTAATGCAAGTGAAGCTAATTTCAGACATTATGATAAGTCATCGCTAATTCAACAACTCTAATTGACAGAAATCCAACTTAGCACTTACGTTTCATTCTTCACAAACTATAACCCTGGTTCGTTAGATTATTTTTTGAGTAAATACTTCCCCATCTGTGAGACATTGTTTATCCTCTCATGATAATATTCTTTGACCTCTCTTAAAAACCCATAAACATGCCATACTTGAAAGAAAATTCTGGATTTGAGTCTGCCTGTTCAGCCTATTTTTTGGTGGTCGGAGACCCAATGCGACATTGTTTACTAAAATGTCATTCATTAACCCTCTACACAGGTTGGGTCTCTTCGATTTGCAGGCAAATGGAATATTTGTGGCTGGTGGCAATGTGAAGCAGTGCTCTTACCATCTAAAATCTTCCATTTACCCACAGATTGAAGGGAAACCAACACATGCAGATTAATGAAGGATATTCTAGTTGAACAACCATGCTGTTAGTCTTTTGTGCACCAAAAACGGAGCTTAATGGATCCCTTCATACCATATCCAAGTTTGGTTTTGGTCGTAGTGTGTTTTTGGGTTAAGGGACGGCTGCATAATCACAATATTGCTATTGCTGGCTCGAGAATCTAAGTTTGATCCTCTAACAAAATTAAAAACTGATAAGCGCATCTGCCAGTCATGAAGTAAATTTACTCTGTAGCCATAAATGGTTGGACTTTATTCTTTTTCTTTTTCCCTCACATATGGTTAGAAAATAGCAAGCCGTTTTTTTTTAGTGGCAATCTTGGATCTTTGCTGATTATATAGTTATCCTTTGACTTTTCCTAGTGTTGAGTGATCCTGCCAAACGAATTGAATATGACTTAACTGGAATCTACGAGATTGACAAGTATAGCTTGCAGGTATTGAATGTCAATTTCATTCAAAATATAAATTATTTATTTATAATTTTTATGATTGTCTCATTGGATTCTAAACAATGAGCATACCCCCAATGCTACACAGGAATATCTTGCCAGATTCAAAGGGATGATACTTACCTGCAACGGACTTGGCATCAATCACACTCAAATTTGGTAATTGTTTATGTCTGGTGTGGGTCTTGTTGTAATGATAATGCTCAACACATGATATTTATGTGCTCCATTACAAGTTATCATGTGAGAGATTGGTACACTATACTAGGATTTTAGTATTTTCCTACCACTTGGGACATTTAAACTGCACCAATATTGGGGTGATATAATATTGAAATATCACAAGAGATATTTCAATCGCACCAATTGATTAGAGAGAAAAGTCCAAATGATCGTTCTACAAGACTACAACTTTTTTCTCTTTAGTTGGCGAAGACTTGAATAAGGAAGATTTGTCTTTTGATTCTTGTAAAATCATCTGGGTTGACTTCTGATTCCAGTAAAACAATGCAGGTCACAACAATTGACCGAAAGCGTTGAATCCCACGATAAATGAGGTTCGGCTTTAACTCTGTCCTAACTTAGAAGTTCCTTGATTTGAACTTCTGAGCCAGCTTCAGAAGTTACTTGGTTTGAACTTCTCAACTGGCTGGTGGGGGATTATGAAATCAATTCTGAGGAACACATGAACGGGGATACTAATCTCAGCATAGAGTTGACACAGGATGCCCTGGAAATTTGGTCTGATTGCATTATGTTGTTTAACAATTAAGAAATACATCAATATATGTTTTGTATAACTAATCACTCAAATGTAAGATTAGGGTATGTTACCGTGTGGACCTCTAACTCCTTATACACATTTTTCTGCCACACATCATCTTCGCTAAGTTTTTTGGGCTGATAGTTTAGTGTGATGCTTTGGTGAATTTATTCATGGGAAGATCAGAATGTTGTTGAAAAAAGCCTGATGGAGAAACCCATGGGCAAACATGTCTTCTTGCTTTCGGGATCTATACATGACAAACATAAACTCTTATTGGAGACATAGACTGTCTGGAGTCTTATGAATGAGAACCTGTCTAGTTCCTTTGTTAGCTCATGTTCCTGTGGACTTTACAGTAGTGACAGGAGACACCTGCGCATGAAACGATTTGCGTACATGTCAAGATCCACAAGTTTCACAAGCTAGCCATGAGATTATTTTGGTCCTTCGAATCAGTGAACGGTTATCAATATCACTTTAGAGGGAAAAAAAAAAGTCTTTTTTTTTTAAAAAGCTAAAGTATATATTTTGTCTTTTAATTTTGTACAAAGTTTTAATTTGGTCTCTTAATTTAAACAAAGCATATATTTGATCCTTTAACTTCCAAAACATTAGATTTTAATTTTTTTTTTTGAAACAATCATGGATGTTTTGAAAATTAAACTTAATATGTTAATATTTGAGAATATTTTACTGATATTTAAAATCTTAATATCATCATTTTTTTAAAATAATTTTAAAGTTAAAAAACTAAAAGTACACTTTTTAAAGTATAAATTTAAAAGACTAAATATATATTTTTGTCTTTTTAAAATCTATTATACTTCAAATTTATCCTGTAAAAGCTAATTCAAATACACCATGAGTTCTATTGTGTATCGCCTGCAGCATTTACTTTTCGCCAGCAAAATTTTAATGTTCCTGTCAATGAACAGTGGATACAAGTAAGCTAAGTTAGGCAGGCTCTGTATAAGCGTGCGCATTCCTTTTTCTCGATTATGGGCTGGTATTCTTCCCTAATGCCCACAACACCTTCAAAAATAATTACAGAACCAAAATCATTCTTAACCATCATTTAAGTAACATATTGATTATGAACTAGTATTCTTCCCTTTTCTCGATTTTCAAGTGGCATTAAAGAGACGTGGATCTCTACCATTTGCTAGCTGTAGATCATAATTCATAAGCATTGCTGGACCTAGTTTTCGTCTTTTTCGGGTTATTGAACTCTATTGACCCGCAGGTAAGTCTTCTCTTTTGCTCCCGCTTCTTACGCTGCTGATTGAATTGTCGGCAGGTTGCTGATAAAGAAATTTCCTTTGATTTTCGTTTGGAATTTCAGTCAGGTAGAACTAGAAGAAAGATTAAAGGGAATATATGGTCTCCTTGTTTTCTATATAATGGCTCGTTGTTTGTCTCCCTTCTCCACACTCTGCTTCTTTAAGACTTGGTTCGGGTGAAGTAACAGTCTCGTTCTGCTGTTTCTTTAATTTAGTAAGCCTCTGCTTTTTTGATATCATGGACTTCTTCTTCTTGGTTGTTGTTGGTTACATTTTTCTCCTCCTCATTCATCTTCTCTTTCTTCAAGTTTTTTCCTCTATTCTCCTGGGTGTCATGACTATATTTTCTTTTTGGATGGCTTTTTGGTCGAGTCCTCCATAGCTAAGGCCTACGCTTCTCATTTACGTTACTGGGTAGCTGTTTAATTTTGTATTAAATCTAAATTTTGATACCTTTTTTGAGACTCACAATAATTCTCCTAAAGGAAAACAACCAAGAGCTTTCTACTTCCTAATTCAATATTTCCGACTTCATAACTATATACACACACACATGCACGCACACTTATCTAATTTACACCATTTGAATTTCATTTGCAGGAGATAATGAATTCGTCAGTTAGTGCCGAGGAAGTAAAACTGGAGAAACTACGAAGCAATGCTATGAGAGGCAAGTGGCCGAAAGTATTTGAAATATATGTACAAGAAAGGGCGCTACGCACAGCCAAGATAACAGGGACAGGAGACACAGTGTTGCACATGACTGTGTCTAATGGGCAAGAGAAGGTGGTGGCAAACATGGTGAACTTGTTAGTTCTTGAAGAAAATAAGCTCGGTCAGAATAATGTGGTGGTTATAGTGGATGAAGATGATGAGGAAAGCTGGAAAGCGAACAACGTCCTCGGGTCTCAAAATGATAGAAAGAACACGCCCCTGCACTTAGCAGCAACAATGGGAAATGTTGAAATGTGCAGGAAGATTGGTGGCACAGACCCCTCATTAATCACTAGACGTAACATTGCCGGGGAGACGCCCCTTTTCCTGGCGGCTCTTAACGGTAGGAAAGAAGCTTTTCTCTGGCTTCATTATCTATATGTGGGAAGCCATCGAATTTCTTCAACTGACGTTGCTCACTGTATAAGGTATAACGATGATACCATTCTTCACTGTGCAATCGCAGAAGGACATTTTGGTAAATCTAAACTAGCATTCATTCTTTCATATATTGTCAATGTACTTATGATGAAGTATTCGTAAGTGCAGATGTAGCAATCGAAATAGTTCACCTTTATAAAGATCTTGTAAGAAGGATGAGGCGCAACAAGGAAGGATTATCTCCACTTCATCTCCTGGCAGCAAAGCGTTCAGCTTTCAAAAGTGTTGGGCTACTTGACCTATCAATCCTCGGCCATCCAATTTATTGTAAGCTACTCCTCCGGTCCTTATATAAGGCCTCTTTAATTAATTTGATTAGATTAAGAAAGTTAGATAAATTAGTTAATTATAAGAAATGTAATGTTTTTTCTAAAATACCATAATCATCTTCCTTAATATCCTCTATCCATCTTCTATTTGATCATGGTTAGGGAGTATCCATAGGGATAATTTAGAAAAAATTGATAAATATGATAAATAGGTCTTATATTTAAGACTAAAATCAATTTAACAATTAGATCTTATATTAAAGACCAGAAGAGTATATTGTTTGTGAAGGGAATACATTGCAATGTGTACATACATACATATATCTACATTTGTGTGGGTGTGATTTCATGCTTTTTCGCCTTCTTATGCATTTCGAGCTTTCTATAACAACATTATACCATCATTAAAGACACTAGAGAAATATTGTACTTTTTATATATGATGCCTCTTATTCTTGATATAAGATATAATTGACTAATTTGGAAAGATTAAGGAAGCTAAATAAATTACTTTCAACTAGATATATTTGTCGTTTTTCTTCAAACTAATTTGCCTAACTAATAAATTCATATATAATCTAACAATACATGTAAGTATCTCAAAAAGATTATATAACATATGTTATAATCAGGTCATTATTTAGCTTTTCTAATCTCTCCAAATTAATCAACTGAGTTTTATATTAAGGATCGGAGGTAGTGTGTCTATATATATATATATATATATATATATAATATGCATATGGCTTGTTTGCTTGGAAATTTGAAGGGTTTTCAAAAGTTGAGGGGAAGAATCAGGCCACGACACTAGAAGAATTGCAACAATGCCGCAAGGTCCCCATGGGAGCAAAGGTCAAGCTTACTCAAAAATGTACGTATGCGTTACTCACTAGCCACTTGCTTCTGTCCATTAACAAAAGTGCATTTGCTTTAAGTAGCATTAGCTAGAGACCTTGCCTTTAACAATATGTAACGATGATATATTAGGAGATAATATATAGAAAAAAATAATAGTACTAGTTTAGTTCCTAAAATTTTTACTCAGTTATAAGTCAATTCTCAAATTTTATTTTGATGCAACTTATTAGTCGTTCAAACTCGTGCAATTTAATACATTTGTCCCTTCTACTTACTGGTTCATCACTTTGCTTGGTTTAAAAAAATATTTTGTCTATACTGACCTACATAGTGGACCTGAATATTCTTAGGGATATGGCGCCATCTGATACGAAAAATGAAGGAGAAGCACACATGGGCACTTCAAATAATGAGCAAACTTCTTCAGCATGCTTCTGACGAAGATATGTCAAATAATTTCGAGAACCACCTCTGAGCAACTTTCAATTTCTCTGCAAACAGAAGAGGATAATGGTAAAAACATTCATGAACACACACACACATGCTCATATTAAATCTTTTATACTCATTGTTCCTAGCACATACATACATATACATATATATATATATAGAGAGACCTGATAATATATATATGTATATATGCACTTCAGCAATGATAGTCGTATATTTACCATGATATATAATGATAGTGGTCAATACTATGAGTATATTTTTGCGCCAACAAAAATCTTGGAATTATAAACTAATTTTGTGGTTTGATTTGGACTACGAATGGCATTGGCGGATATGTAGAGTTGGAATCAATGGCAACACCTGTGTCTGGAACAATAACAATTGAGACACCTCTAATGATTGCTACCAAAAACGGTATTACAGAAATGGTGGAAAAAATTTTAGAATCATTTCCGTCAAGGATTAAAGATGTAAATGCTGAGGAAAAGAGCATAGTTCTTCTAGCAGTAGAATATAGGCAGACGGAAGTATTCAGGTTTTTGTGCAAACAAAAGTGGCAGCAAAGCTTGGAGTTGAGCTCGATTGGCTCAATCCTGGGGAAGCACTCACCGTATTAAGGGAAATCAATTGGTTCGAGGTGCGTATCTATGCATTTTCTAGTGATGAGGTCACACGAAAATTAAAATATTGAATATCACCCAAAAGTTTTTCTGAGGTTCAATTTTGCCCCATAAGTATTCAAATGGAGTAGTGTTGTCTCTTGTCGTTAATTATTAACAAGCAAAGTCATTTTTTAGCCATCAATGCTAATATTTTAATAAAGTTGAGGTAACATTGCTATGTTTTAAAACTTTCGGGGTGACATTGAACTCAAAAGAAAAAAATTTCCGGGGCAACAATGCTCATGAGCAAAAAAGCTCCCAAGATGAATTTGCAACTTAACCGATAAATTAAAGTAGACCATTATTTCAAACATTTATTTGACACAGTTTGTGAAGAATTCAATGCCCCATGGTCTCTTGGAGAGATACAATAGGAAAATGGAGACCCCAGAAGATATCTTCAGAGATAGTCACAAGGAACTTATGAAAAGCGAAGGAAAGTGGGCATCTAAAACCTCACAAGCATGTTCTGTGGTGTCAACCCTAGTTGCATCAGTGGCTTTCGCCACACGTACCAGTTTGCCTGGCAGTTATGATGCTTATAAGGGCTATGCAATCCTCAGAAACAAGGCCGTATTCAAAATTTTTGCAGTATCTTCATTATTAGCCTTCTTGTTCTCCCTCATTTCCACCATCTGCTTCCTTTCTGTTGCTGCTTCTCGTTCCCAATCTGTTCGCTCTTGGAGATACGTTCCTTGCAAACTTTACTTTGGTATGTACTTCATGTTCGTCTCCATTGTTTGTCTTTGGGTCTCTTTCTGTGCTGCTGATTTCTTCGCTCTCAATGATGATGGTCGAAAATTGGACAATGCACTTCCATCTTATATATTTTTGTCACTGGGGATCATCCTCTTGGTTGTCACACAGCTCCCCACATTCCTTGGTCCCACATTGTCTAGTATTTGGCCCATTCCTGCCCCTAGACGAAAGGCCACTCGTCCCATGGAGTACCAAAGGACGAATTTGAACCACTAAAGTTACGTGCTAGTCTTGGATTGTTCAAAGAACACCAACCTGCTTCACTTTTATTTTAAAAGCTTTTGTGTATGATTTTTAATGTTTTTATTTTCTTTTTCTGTTTGCAGTAATATGTGCAAGCGCATACCCTCGTAGTTTGGGTTTTATAATTGTTATGTTTTTTCAACTTCACTAAATAAGTTCATTGATTGATGTTGGGGTTCTCATATATATCTCACATCTAACCAAAAGAAACAAAACCAACAACAACTAAAAGAAACACAAATCACAAACCAGTATTAGAGTGTAACTCATTAACCTGTATCGGTTCTATCTTATTTGAACATATGATTGGGATAAAACCATCGTTAAACGGAGATTAACCCGATCATTATTAAGATAATATAATTTAATTAAAAGATACAAAAGATATCCATATATAACCTTGAAAAGGGTAATATTTAAATTAAAAAAGGCATTAATTTATAAGTAAATAAAATGTGAATGTATAAACTACATACTCTATAATCTAACCAAAAAAAAAAATTATTAAAGCACAAATTTAACAGAGTTACTACTGACTGAAGAGCAATGTTGAAGGATGGGTTGATTCAACCAAACTCAAGTTTATTCTGGGCACTAGTGATTTTGGTACGAAAGAAGACGAAACATGATGATTTTGTGTGGGCTATAGGGCATTCAAATGTCGTTATTTTCAATTTTGCAATTCAAAGTGACAATCTGCATAAGCATAATTGACAAATAAAGAAGTTGAAATTGACAATGGAGGGTGCTAAGAGTGACAATTTACGTATCAACAAGGGTAAGATGATCAATTCACAATTGCAGTCTTCTACTCACAAGTTCCTTGAAACCTGAGATTAATTTGAACGTTTCAAGGGACCTTACAAAGATAAAATCTCTTAATTCGATGCCAGAATGTAATTTTCCCGTTTCAAATAATGCACGAAGTGCAAGCCCACTAACAAAGTTCTCTCGGGCAAAAGAAGTGGATTCCAATGGTCAAAGCTGGCCCAACAAGCTCCTGAAGTATTGAGACGCCAACCGGTTCGGGCGCCGGGATTGGCCCCACCCGACTTTTCCAAGCCTTTCATTTTGGAGACCAACGGCTCCGGAAATGAGGTTTGAGCAGCATTGAGCTAAAACAGCCACCCCATATTCCTCTGCGGGGCCAACGCCTGTGTGTTCTGGCAATTATTAAGTGACAATAAAACTTGTTATTGTTGCCTGGGCATACTCAAAATGAAAATAAAAAATAGAAATATGATTTGCTTTGGACTCGTTATCGATATTAATATTAATCAATATATATTACTACTTTCGATACTCAATTAAAAAAAACTAATTAACTAATTTGAATATATTAAAAAAATTAGTTAAATTGGTTATTCGTAATAAATAGGTATTGTTTTTCTAATAAAATACCGTTATTAATCATGTGGATTAGGTAGAACTATTATAAAGATTATCTTAAAAAAAATAGATAGATATGAGAGACAAAATAGATGTGAGTCTTATATTTATGATTTAACTGAAAGTCAAATTAATTCTTATATTAAGAACTAAAAGTAGTAATATATATTATAAAAATTATACATATTATTGATCAATTTCGACTTAGGAAGCAAGACTGAAGAGCATGATGAAAGCAGAAAACTTGAAAAATTAACCTGAAACCAAAAAAGCAAAATCCGTTGGGGCTATTTTGTTTCGCTAATGAAGACAACGAGCTTCTCATCTTCAGCAGTGAAATTGACTTTTATATTCAAATTTGGCGGCTGCTTCCAGGTGTTGCTATGTGCCACAACACATCATTACTCCGCCACTTGCATATACATACATATAGAGAGAGAGAGGGAGGAGGATTTCTCCGCTTCCCCTCCCCTCCATTTCCAACTTTTCATCCACTTCCCCTTATCAATTATAAAATTACAATTTGAACAATCTATATTTTATATTTTATAAAATTATAAATTAAGTATTAAATTTTTAAAAAAATAAATAAAATTAAATTGAGAACGATAATAAAAATATTTTATAAGATTATTTTATATAATATAGAATCTGAACCCTTTAAATTACAATTTTAATAAGGCTCAAAATATAAGTTAAATTTTGTTGGAAAGGCTTAGATTTTTTTAACTAAAATGCACACCTTATATATTTATCGTTTTAAAATTATTTTAACTATTTTTTTGATAAACAGATAAAATTTATTTTATATTTTAAACAAGAGAGAATAGTTGAGATAAGAAGTGGATGAGAAGTGGATGAGCCTCCTCTCCTGTATGGCGAGGAGTTGGGTGGAGGCCGGAGGGGAAATAAGATAGGATGTTTAGAAACTCCAAAAAAGCATAAAAAAAAATGATTTCATATAATCAAGACAAAACTATTCGCACATACTTACTTTGAACTCTATAAAATCACTTTTGAAAAAAAGCTAATCCAAGCATCCCTATAAATCATTGCTCTAATTAGCTTTGAATGTGGATCTGTCATAGAGAAGAGAGATTCTAGAATCATTTTTTTTATAAAAAAAAAAAAAAAAAGAACAACAGCTGACCTGGCAAAAGAATTTATTATGCATTGCCATAAAATATTGTTCAATAATTGCGGATCATGTCATGCTCAAGTATTTATACATATTTGACTGCAATGTTGATGGGTACTTGAAGTTCAAAGAATGAATGGAAGAGTGCTTGTTGAGCAAGCCATGGTGGAATGAAGTGTTGTTGTCAACATATTGTACGCTAAGACAAAAAGAAAAAGGGAAAGTTCATTAATCAAGTTGGGTTTGTGGAATGAACTCTAAGAAATACTTTATAATAAGGAATTAGAGTAGCGTCACTGAACCGTTGGCCCAAAAGAAGAGCATTCACATACTATCATCATTAGCTGCTTAGTTTATTTTATATTTAAGTAACCAAAAAATAATATATCTGTTGGTCATGATCAGTGAAAAAATTTCTAGTAGTTTTTCTTTTTTATTGGAATCTGGTTTTCAAGTGATTTTGTTAAGGCTTTGAGGGAAATTATTTTTTAGGACCCAAATCTTAAATTTTTTAGTTAAAATACTACCTCCAATGCTTAATATAAGAACTTGTTTGGACTTTATTTTGGTCTTAAATATAAGACCTCAATTGATTTTGTCTCTCATATTTATCCATTTTTTTAAGGTATTCCTTGTAATAATTGTAGTTTTAGCCAATACACTTGATTAGTAAAAATATTTTAACAAAGACAAGATCTATTTATCACAAATAACTAACTTAACTAATTTTCTTACTCAAATTAGTCAACTAATCTCATATTAGGAACTGAAGGGAGTATATTAAAAAACGTAATTATTTTCAATGAGCCTGAAAAACTAATCTTTATCGGGATATAAAAAGCAAAGTAAATTTTGGTCATGTATATATAAAGATTGAGAATCGAATCTCCAACTACTTAAAAAATGAAAATTTTTGCCATTAATCACGCCAAATTAAGTTGATTGGCTAATATTACCCTTTAAGTTGCGTAAAAGATTAGCTTAATGTTCTTAGTGGAGCTTTATAGAGGCCAAAAAAATAGTAACAATTCTTTTTAAATTTACTAGTGGTACCTTTAAAATGTTGTAGTGATTTGTCTTATATAAAATTTTGAAAATTTACATCCTTAAGTATGACTTTTCTAATTTTGTTTAGTGGGGACGTTCTACTGGAGTTGTTGGCATTAACTAGCAATATAAAATACAATGCTGAAATAAGACTGATAAATTTTGGAGTTTCAAGAGGTTGATCATGTCTTTGACTTTAGAAAGCTAACTTCTCTCTGTGTTTTAAGTTTCTCAGGGTATGATTTATACTTTTTTTTTAATGTTTTTGACTAATGAGAAAGCAACCTTCACGTTATATTTATATTAAGTATAAACAAAACTTAATTTTATGATATGGGAGAAAATTAAAATCAATCAAAACAATACTTTTTTACTATATCAAATAAAGAGCTTAATTGTTTTGGTGAATGCAAAAGGTGAAAACCACATCAACCGCAGATATTATTTTCTATGGAATATTAAGAGTACAATATCAAGAGAGAATTGCAATAAAATCTTAAGTAAAGAATATATTCACAAAAAATCACATAACAGCTGAACAAATTATAATGACAGGTTTTAGAATAAAAAATAATAATAGGTTTCAGTTGTTTATTTGTCGTTAAGACTTTTAATAATTATTTTTCTTCTTTAGCATCTCACTACAATTTTCCCAAAGATAAACATCTCTCAACTAAATACCTACGTACACAAATAGTAGGATTCAAACTCCTAATCCTTTATTTAAGTGACTAGAGCCCAAATCTTGAGTCAGTAAAAACCTGATATTTATATTATAATATGAGCGGTATCACGTTAACTCAATCAAATGTTGAAAATAGAACTTTATCAAATATAAGAACTAATTTTTTTAAATTATTATAAGAGTTGTACCTGAGGAACTCAATCGGATTTTAAAAGAGATAAGTGACATATATAATTTTTTTAAAAAAATTTAATTTAACACATCCCTTCAGCTTCTGTTAAGGACGTTTTTCACTTGCTGGCGCAATAGAATGAAAAAGAACGTTTTTGAGCTACCATGACTTATTAGGTCAGTTCAAGCTTTAAAAAGATTCATGAATCTAAGAGAATTTAAAATCCCCTAGCATTCATATTAAAATATTCATGCATCTAAGAGAATTTAAAATCCACTAGCATTCATAAAATAAAGAGATTTTTTTAAAAAAAATCGCATCAGATTTTTATTTTAAGCTTTCTTTTGCCAGCTTTTATTTTAACTTTTTGTGAATTCCTTCGTTTGTTTTATGTTTTAATTAGAAAAATACACGATATTATTATTGTATATGTAAATATTAATATTTTAATATTCGAATCTTAAAATATATTATATGATCCCAAAACTATCTCCTTTAAATTACTCTTTTCATTCTATTTAAGTATTTTTGAGTGACTTCTAACATGTTTTACACAAAAAAAAAAAAGATTTAAGTCACTCTCATTTAAAATTAAAAACTTTTCAATCTTATCCCTATTAAATACTTCATCTGGTTTAAAATATAAAATAAATTTTATTGGAGGGGCTTGGTTTTTTTATAAGATAATATTCATTTTTGTTCAAGCATTTAATAAGTTATTTTCTAATTTTATCCCTTATCTATTTTCTTTTTTCTTTAATTCATTTATTATATTCTTTAACTTATTTATTGTATTTTTCACTTATTCTCTTCATTAATAAGGACATATTTGAAAAAAAAAATACATATCTTATATATTTATTATTTTAAATTGATTTTAACTAATTTTTTGATAAACATAAATGGATCAAATTTACCTTATATTTTGAAATGAATGGAGTATATATTATAATACCTTATAAGAACAAAACCAATTCAGTAATACTGGAAAGAAAAACACAATAATAAATAAAAGGTAAAATTATATATTTATATATAAAAAATTTCTCTTTCTACTTATAAACAGGATTAAAAAAAAAATTTATTCTATAAATAGGACTAAAGAAGTATTTACTATAAAAATAGTTACCAATATTTTTATATGATAGTAAAAACAAGTAAATTTGATGATGAAGGTCAATTTACACGACATTTTAATATCATAATAAAGTACTGAAATATTCCTCTAGTTCTAAATGTAAGACACATCTTGTAGTGTAAATTACACTACAAGATGGGTTTACAGTACAAGATGGGTCTTATATTTAAAGCCGGAAAAGTATTTATTTCTACCTTCATCTTTGAACACAAGATACCAACTACCCAAAACCAACTACCCAAAGAAGAGTTGCCATCTAACTAATATCAAAATTTAACAAATAATTCATGACCCGCACATCACATAACCCTTTTAAATTAAATATGTTAATTAAATCATCTAAAAATATTTTTTAAATGTTAATAGATCTAATAACAACTTGTTATGTCTTTTACTGTTTAACAACATACCCTCTCCCGTTTCTATTTATAAAACCCACTTCTTTAAAAGAGCATGTTTCTTTTTATAAGAGGCATTTTGAAGGTGTTTGTATATTTAAAATATTTTTTTTATTTACCCTCAATTAATTACATATCTTTCTTGTCTTTTGTTTTTCATATTTATTCTCCCATCTCATTTTTCACTCATTCTCCCTTCCACTTACATTTTTTTTATAAATAAAGATATTTTTTAAAAATAAATTATATTTTTTTTTACATATTTATTGTTTCTAACTAATTTTAATCAAATTTTTATCTCGTTATTTAGTTAATGGTCTCTTGAAAAAAAAAAACGCAGCGAGTATTATTATCTTTACATGTTTTATTTCAAAATATTTAACTTTAACTAAGTGTGGGTCTGGAAATTAATCTCCCCATCTCCCTATATAAGGACTCTAGCTCCTTCAAGATCCTATCGTCCGCCAAATATCTCTCATTATATTCTACTCTCTTTCACTTCTCAATCTCTCATCTCCCTTCTTCTCATTCGCACAACACAATCACAGTTTGCTCCCTCCTCCCCCTTCTTCTTCCTCGTTTCTCTCTCTAACCACTGCGACATCAACCAGAAGAGAGAGAAAATGGTAGCAGAAGCAGACGATAAACGAACTCTCATATTCACTTACGGAACCTTGAAGCGCGGCTTCTCTAACCATGTTCTCCTCCAAGATCTCATCCGCTCCGGCGACGCCGCCTTCGTTGGCGTCTTCCGCACGGCTAACAAATACCCGCTTGTCTGTGGGCCCTACCGAGTCCCCTTCCTTCTGAACTTCGTCGGATCGGGTCATCATGTCCGAGGCGAGCTTTACTCCGTGACGGCGCGTGGACTTGCCAAAATGGACGAGCTCGAAGGCACCACGCGCGGCCACTACGAGCGCTTGCCGATTGTGGTGTTTCGTGATCCGGCCGAGAACGACGGCGATGGTGAGGTGGAATTCCGATCGATCGAGAACGATGATATCGGTGACGGAGACGGATCATCAGGGCTGACGTGCGCGGCGGAGGCGTACTTCGCACACAAAAGCTACGCGGTGGAGCTGTGGAAGAAGAATGAAAAGAGAGGGTTTGAATGTTACACCGAGAAAGAGGCGAAAGGTTATGTGAAGCGCAAAGATAGGCCTCAGAATCTGACGTTTCTGGATCACATTCGCTTGTTTGTTACTTCTGACTGAATCACTGCATCTATTTTTTGCCCTTTTCGTTTCTTAGTTTCTCGCGCGAGAAAATTTCCCAACAATCAACATGTGGATGGAAAATTAGCTGCGATGGCTTTCTTGTAATTTCGCGGGGGGTGGATCTGGTGGGTCCCAGAATCACGAGGCGTTTGTGATTTCCATTTACTTATCACGCGCTTTGCTTGTTGCCGCAACTGTGTCTGGGCGAATATTTGGAAATTTTGTTTGTGTTATCAGCGATATTATCATCATCATTATTATGAGCAATAATCGGAAGTAAAAGTGGACATTTATTCTCTTTTTTAATTTATGATACACTAAGTTTCTTATTTCATACTATATCTCTTATCCTAATTATAAAAACTAGTTGATTAATTTAAGAAGATTAAGAAAAGAAGTTAATTTAGATATTTGTAACAAATAGGTATTGTTTTTTTAAATATTTTTGCTAATAAAGTGTATTAGTTAGAAATACTATTGTTAAAAAGACTATATTGGTAAAAAAAATACATAAATACAAGAAACAAAATATATTAAAGTCTTATATTTAGAACCAAAATAAAAGTCAAACAAGATCTTATATTAAGGATCGGAGGTAGTATAAGACTTAGTTCATTAATTCAAAAAAACTATAAAAGTTAAATAATCACTTAATTATAATATATGTTACATGAACTTTTTGAAATACTCACATGTATTATTAGATTATAGTAGTATATTAGTTTATAAGTCAAATAAATTAGTTTGAAAAATAAAAATAAATATAATACTTTAATGAAATTATTTAACTTTTTTAATCTTTTCAAATAAGTCAACATGATTTTATAGTAAATATCATAACTAAGTATATTTTTTATGTTTTTTTATTGTGCCAATATGTCTTTTTATGCTATAAATCTAGTACTCTTTTTTGGTTTTCAAAGATTAATATATTAAGTATAGCTTTTAAAAGGAAAAATAATTTTAAAATAGTAGCATTTGATTTTGTTTTTTTGTTAGCAATTTAAAATTGTAACCACGCGCGTGACGATTAAAAACATACTTTATAAAATTAATTAAACCATACTGCCTTATTATTTTTACTACTACTAAAAAACTAGAATATGGATCTGTGACGTTAGAAAATTGGGATTTTGAAGGATTCAGATTTTATTTGATGTAGTTATATGTTGATAATTCATTTTTATATGATTATGAATTCATCATGATATGTGAGAAATTAAATAGCTGATATAATCATACTGCATGTGTTATTATTATAACATTAACTTGGGTATTATTGAGTTCACCAACTTGGAATAACACTCCTAATTTAATCTTTTTTTATATAAAATCCAACATAATTATTTGATTCACAAGGATTAAGGTAAACTCATCCATATTAATAAGGCAAATTGAGGACTTCTACTTTAATTAACTACAAATTAGAAAAACTTTAATCAACAGCTAGGTTTGGAGCAAAGTTATGTGTATAATTAACATCGATTTGAGATAATAATAGTTGAATTTGACTGTAGTTGTGAGATTATTTTATTAAAAAAATAAATTATAATCTTTTCTTAAAATTACAAAGTTAGGTATAACTAGAAATTAATCTAATAATTGATTAATCATATCATGATTCTTGAATGCTGCATCACTGATTAAAAAATTCCTTTGAAAATAAATTTTTTGTATTAAAATAGTTAAAAATTTAGTATAAATGGTAGGTTAGTCTGGGCTTAAATATAAATAGTTGGTTTTAAATAAATAATAAGGATTGAGTCTAATAAAAAAAACTAATACTTATAATATGATTAATTAATTTAAAAAATTTTTTACATTTAGTATTAAACAATAACTTCAATAGTAACTCAAACATGTCCAATACAAGGATATCTATGCTTACAAAAATATACTTTTTTAATTCTTAATATATTACCTAATTGTTAAATTAATTTTTTTTCTAAATATAAGATTTATTTTTTATATTTATCAATGTTTTCTAAATTACTCATATGGAAACTCCTTTAGCCATAATCAAATAAATGAAGGAAGAAGGATATTAAGAAAAATAATTATAGTATTTGAGAAAAATATTTTATATTTTTTATAATTAATTAACTTATTTAATTTTTTTAATCTAATTAAATTAGTTTAAAAAGTTTTATATTAAGAATTGAAAGAGTACAAATTTAAACTAATTTGTATATTTAATACTAATGCGGGAGTAGTACATTCGGATACGGAACTATAAAAGCAGAATTGCAGAACATGTGAAGCTCCATTGTCGCATGTCTCAGTAATGATAAAACGCATCTTTATCTCTCTCACACACACAGAAAAACAGAATAACCAGAGACTGCTTTTCCCTACAGCAGGCAACTCCACTTATCATACATATATTTGGTTTATAGTTGGCATTCATTGATGGCACACAACACACAGTCCCCACCACCCACCGCAAATCGTACAACGCCTTACACCTAATAGTACAAAGTTGCTTTCCCTTATCGCCCCCAGCCCACAATGGAATGGAATCCGTACCGCTCCCTTGAGGAGAGGCACAGGATTCTGACACGTTTTGGCATCGTGGGCCTCCGTACTTTGTACCTTTCCTCACGCACCCTTTCTTTTCTGCCAACAATGCACGCGCGTGCTCGTGTTTGTCACTCACTCCAAAATTGCCTCCCATCCTCAGTGGGTCCCACTTTAGCACAGCCACTTTCATCAATCTCAATAAGCCTAACCTTTCCTCCTCCCCTGTCTTTGCTTTTATTTTGAGTGTGGTCATCTCATCCCCAGCGCATTCCTCCAAAGCACAAATAATCATTTGATGATGATAAATAATTTCTTTGGGGGCGAAAAAATATATATATTCCGTAACAAGCTGAGTTTTCTTCTGGCACAATGTCATTCTAACTTGTAAGGCATGATTTAGAAGATAATTTCTTGAAAAAAACTATTTTTAGAATAGATTTTATAAAAAATTGATTATGATAAAATAAAAACATTTGAATAGTTATTATGAGAAGTATTTTTTTTATACACACAAAACATTAAAAAACACTTTTTATAAGTACAAAATTTTTATTTTTTTAATCTTGGATTAATTATCTAACTTTTATATTAGACATAAAAAATTATTGATTATTAATGAGATTAGACTTCTTATTCATAGGAATTAGGAGGCTTTCTTCGCTTATGTTCATAGATAAGAGATCCCATGAGAGATCATTTAGCCAAATTAGCCCATAAGACATCTTTATCTTTAATGAACCACCATGAAGAGGCAGACACGTGACGAGGAAAGGTAATTTAACCTTGCTGTTATTTTTTATTTCTTTTTTGAATCATTTGATCATTTGAATGAGTACAATACAATTTCTATTCAAAAAATTAAATATCAAACATCCCATTGATTAAAAACCACATTTAATATACACAAATAACATTGGAATTTTGGAAAAAAAATTATAAATTTAAAAGACAAAATAATTTAAGATACTCCTCCGGTCCTTGATATATAATCCAATTGTTGAATTGGTTTTGGTTCTAAATATAAAACCAATTTATCATATTTATCAATTTTTACTAAATTACCCCTATGGATACTCCCTCAACCATAATTAAGTAGAAGAGGAAATTAAAATTGGATATTAAGAAAGATGATTATGGTATTTTGAAAAAAATGTGTCACATTGCTTATAATTAACTAACTTACCTAACTTTCTCAATCTAATCAAATTAGTTAAATAAGCCTTATATTAAGGAATGGAGGAGTATTATATTTAGAATGAAAACTAACTTCCCATCAATTCTTGTATTTAAAATAAAAAGAATTACTAATCATCAATATCAAATCATCTTGACGTCGAAAACAAGAATATAAGGTAGAATGGAGAATACTAAAACTACTAAAGACAACATGCATGAAGCGTGGAGAACTCATTAAATCATCTATTTCGATGACTAAAGAAGCATACAAAAGTTACAAATGGAAGTTATAAACCATTAAAACAGACATCTTCCTTTTTAATTTCTCTCATTCCGTGATACGATGAGTATTGTTCTCATTGATGGATCCAATACCATTCTAGTTTATATCATTTTCTTTGAAATCTATCTTTTCAAGAAAATAATATAATTCTTTATCAATTTCATCGTCGTCTCTCTTTTCCACCATTTTTCTACAACCTTTTGTAATGTTATTGTGTACGCATATTCCTAACTTACAATATATGCCTTGTGGCCATTGCCACTTGGGGAGGGACCGCACCATCCCCCCAAACCAAAAAAAAAAAAAATCTGAATTGATAAAGGCAGGTGATGCCGTGATGGGATGGGAGAGAGGAATAGGATCGCACTATGTGGAAAGTGGAAGTCCCGCATTGCCCATTTTAGAAAAGATGTCGTGGTAGGGCATCCGGCGTCGAAGAGTATTTTGGATTTCACACGAGGTTCGGCTAAGCATTGGTTTGCCGATTTTTTCTTGTTGAAGCAGCACGCGTTGTTATTATTATTATCATAAAAATTTTAAAAAAATACTTCTAAAATTTCAAAATCTTAAATAAAAAAATGATTATATTCTGCTTTTCGAATGTTGTTAATTGTTATTAAAGTGCAGTAATAACAAGACTGATTTAAAATTTTAAAATTTAAAGATTTTTTAAAAATTTTGTTGTTGTTGTTGCTGTTATTATACTGCATAAAGTGTTCACGAGGCTCAAACTCGAAGTTGTTTTCTTCGAGATTCAAGTCCTTGATTTTGCTTCGGCCAAAAAAACAAAAGAAGTCCTTGATTTTGGGGGTGAAGTCTATCTTGAAGCTTAGTTCAGTGTCCTTGATTAATATTTTAATATTACTTTCAGTCCTTAATATAAGATGTAGTTGGTTAATTTGAGTAAATTAAGAAAATTAGTTAAGTTAATTATTTGTAATAAATATGTGTTGTCTTTTTTAAAAATACCCTTGTTAATCAAGTATATTAGCTAGAACTAGCATTACTGCAATGACTACTTGAGAAAAAATGGATAAATATGATAAGCAAAGTAAATTGAGATCTTATATTTAAAATCAAAATAAAAGTTAAACTAACTTTTATATTAGGGAGAAGAGGTAGTATTTGTTTTTCCAAATATAAGGGACAAGAAGACCATCTCCCCCACTTATCCAATTAAGCTTGGGCCATAATCTACAAGGGTGGATTATATGTAATCAACCTCAGAGGTCCAAATACTTAACTTGACAGCAACAAAAAAAGTCCATCTACCTCGTGTTTGTTCCTAAACGTAATTAGTAAAACATAATTTTGTGCTGATATGAGTGCAGGATGGTTCTTTGCTGTTGATGAGTCTTCAAATTTAGCTTCCACCTAAACCATAGTGGAAGAGGGTTATATGGCTTTTATGATGGAATTTGGAAATCATAACACCTAACATCCATCTGACATTATTGCATTTCCAATGTCCTATCATCGCTCAAAGGCCCAGCCTACCCCAGCTGCTGCATGGGCTTAAAAGCCCAGGCCCACACCAGCTTCCCCGTGAATATTCTGTCCTCAAAAGTGATTATTCTTGAGGTTGAGTCTAGCAGCCCAAAAAAAAAAGAGTTAATTACTCCTAACATGACGAACTAGAATTTAAATTCATGTTAAAAGAAATACTTATATTTAGTATCTAAAAATACTTCAAATAGGATGCTCTCAATGTCAGAATACTTATCCATGAAAAAACAAAACATTTTCTACATGCTAGAGGCAGAAATATGGATTGAGGCTAGTGGGTTGGCCCGCGAACCCACCATAAAGGTTAGGGTTGGTATTTTGCTAAACGACCAAAGTGTGGGCTAGAACACAACCCGCAAGTTATGGCGGTTTAGCTCGCAAGTTGGTTGACCTAGCTTGTCATTTTTTTTCTCCACATAAATAATGTTATTATATTTGAAAAATTTCTTTCCTCATTTATATTTCAATTTTCATGTTACATAATACCTATCTAAAATATTTTTAAAAAATAAACAAAGTATATTTATAGCAAAAATTTAATAACTACAATCAAATATAAGATAATATTTATCATAGAAAAAAGTGTTTTAGAAAAACATGGTAAATGAACTATAAAAAAAATTAGATAAATGCACTTCTAATTTATTAAGAGATAATTTTTTGTGTCAAATATGGTATTTGTATGAAAAAATTATAAAATTTATCACTTGATGAGTTAATGTTGAATGTTAATCATGTAAAATATTTGTAATTTATTGTTTTATATTTATATTGATTATTTTGGATAAACATAACTTATATTTATGATTTTTTTTGAAAATTTGGATCATCATTTATTAATTTTAAAAAAATTAAATAAAAGCAAGGTTTAAAAATTAAGAATTAAAAAAAAATGACAGACTGACCCGCAAGTCGCGGGTTGGCCCATATTCCCGACTATACATGCTAGACATGGACCAACTGATTCAGTATTTCAGTGCCCTATCAGCATATAATTTTCAAATTTGGCAAGAGTGGGTGCTTGGAATAATAAAAAAATAAATTCAGATAATTTTTTTTTTTATATATTTACTTGCTAGTTTAAGATCACTTTTTTAAACGAGAGTTTTCCATGGGACGCGGAGTGCATTCAGCACAGTGATCGTCAAGCAACAAAAGTGTTTCCGATAGTGATGGTGGTCGAGGCGTTTTTCTGGAGGGGACGCGCGCTAGCACCTGAAGAAATTGAAAAGCTGCCAAATCTGCTTCTTCTCTCAGGTCCTCCTTCCTGCGGCAAAACCTCTCTTCTTTTTCAGTTTGCATTCAATGTGGCTATATCACTCACCAACTCTACCACTTCCAATGTCTTCTTCATCTGCAACCGCCACAAGTTGGATTCTAAACCCCCTTTTCTTTCTCAGGTACGCAAATCTCTCTCTTCGGAATGGACTTGTGCCTAATCACAACGGTGGCTCGTTTGCTTTAGAATTTGATAAAATACTTGGCTTGAAAAATGAAAGCATTAGACATCCCTTAATTGTTGAAATTAGAGGTAATCTGTTCAGAAAAAGAAATGTTGGGCTGAGTGTAATAATTACAGTCAAAATCATGGCGTTAGATTCTTTTTCTTTTTAAAATTCAGAGGTTAGGGAGTTTTAGTATTCAAAATCACATGGGTCATTGCCATTAATTTTAACCAGTATGTATGATTTTGTTTAGGTCATGAATTCACCGAGGGGTTTATTACATTTTGAAGTTTATATTGCCCATAGTTCGGAAGGGTATCATGTAGTTTCCCTTCTTTTGAAACCGACTTCAATTTTTTGAATTTCAGGGCATTGATGGGTCTTCTGATGTCTTCAACAGTATACAAATGAAGTATGATCATCAACACTTCACTCATTTCTGCTATATTTGCACTTTTGATTGCTTACTTCTGCTTTGAATTTGACAATCTTTTCCCTTCTTTTTTCCCCCATGGTTAAGGTATGTGAATGGTGACGAGGACATCAACAAGTACTTTGCTGCCTTCCATCTGTATGATGTATTGCCTGCTGCTGTTATAATTGATGATTTTGCAGATTTCTTTGATAATAGGTAATTCAGCCGTTAAAGTCATAGAAATTGGCTTAGTTACAACACTTTTTAAGCCCTATGTGAAATTCTAGTAACTCTTTAGCGACATTTGTCTAAAATTCTGAATTCCCAAAAGGATCTGCCAAGAACGACATTGTAATCCTCGTGGAAGAGATTTGGCGATGGTCAGGAGTCTAGCTTTATGTCACAATGCAATTACTTATGCAAAGTAAGTGGGCATTACTTTTGCAAGAGTTTGTAGTAGCATGGAACCTAAGTGCGATGCTCGATTTGCGAGACTGGTATATTGATAAAATTCTTTTCTAACTTTCACAGTCAAAAAGGATCTTGCAAACTTCTATTATCAGATACATACCATGGAGACTCCCCCAGGTTGCATTTCATCTATAAGAAATGGATACCCTCCATTTTTACAGTCAAAGGTTAGTTGAATATAAAATTACTATATACAGGTATAGTCTTTGTACTTGACTATTTCTTCCGCTCTCTGTATTTGAGTCCATTTCCTGCTATTAGATTGCATTTGAATATTTAAATTACAGACCATCCTGCCCTGGCAGAAGGAAGTATCCTTTCATGACCTTTATATAGCTCTCAGTTTCATGTCATTTGTACCTTCTTTAGTGGCATATTAATAATAATTGTCATATTACTGGATCTTTCAGAAGGAGATGAAGCCGGATCATTCACTCTAAAGGATAGGAGTTCTTCAGGAACTCAGAACCCTGATGGGACAAAAGTTGCCAAGTACTCCATAGCTCTTCAGTATCTGTTCTTAGAGCGAATTGTTGAAGACCAAACGGACTAAATTTTTCATCATGTGCAAAATCACGACTTTGTGCCATCTCTAACTGGATGATACTGATACTGATTGTTTCCTTTTCAGCGATTATACTTGTATCTCTGCACACATCCACTGAATTAACCATATGATCCTTATGATATTATTAACTTAATTTATGTTTGTAAGTTCCCTATTTTTCTCATCACTTAGTCGAGTTCTATGCTTTCCAATGGACTACCGATTTATTAAACTAATCTGTGGCACAGAATGGTGCCACCAAGTGACATCACCAACAAGAAAACTCGTGTACTTTGGCTCTTAGATTATCATGATTTTGCGAAGTTGGTTTCTGCAATTTATCAAATAATTCATCCACAACAGGTAAATTAATTCTAGCACGCTGCAGTGCTAAAATTCTTCTTCTTCTTTGTTTATTTTCCTGTAAACTTAAGATTCCCGTTTTCTTGACATCTTTGTGCACTTGTCTAGGACAGGTCACTGGCAAAATTCAGGCATCTTTTCCCCCAAGTCCATATCAAAATATAGGATCCAATTAAATTGGCTTGCTCTGTAGCTATATGTTATGGTATCATCTGGTGGTCTGAGTGTTTCTCTTTGGTTCAACTCTATGACCATATCTACCAAGATTACCTAAAGCCCCTCTTTCACATCAGATCTCCAAAGAGCAGTATTGATCAGGAAACTCCTTGTTATGTAAATCAGATCCAATGCATTCATATTTCACACAAACTATTAGTAGTTGTCTCAAGTGGAAGGGATTTGATATTACTTAAATAAAGTTATGTGTTCGAATTTTTATACATTGAGGGTTTTTTTCGGAATGACGGTAAAATCCTTGAAAAACAGCTTTTCAGTTATAATTTACGGAATACAATGTAAGTATGTGAGATGAGTTTTATTTTGAATTATGTGAATAGGTACTTTTGGATATCTCAATTTTGATTCCAAACAAGCACTGAAAAAATCATATTAGGAGAGCTGCTCTCAAGAGAATGATTGTATGCTCCGAATGTATTATATACGCTCACTTGTGAGCATGTATTGATGTAAGGTAGCTGAATTGTATGTTTTCTCAAATGTGAGGGGCTCTTTTTTGTTTTGTTCCGTTTGTTTTTCAAGTAATTGTTCCTTTGGGCCCCCCCAGTTGCCTTTCGTGAACTCGTTCCTAATTGGACCCAAATGGGGATAGCCGTCATGATATGATTTTTGTTTCATTTACAAAATCCGATCCCACAACTTTGTTAAAGGAGTATTTAGTCCTTTCAGTTTAGTCTATCACCATCGGTGAGTGAAAAAAGAAAAAGGAAAATTTGGTTAAAAATCTCTGATTAAAAACTTAATTGGCTAAAAAGACTTAAATTTGAGTGCCTGTAACTATAATTCATGAATGTAACTTTTCTTCCTTTGTATGCGATAATTAATAAATTTAATTCTTATATATTGATAACAAAAATATAATAAATGTTGCATATATTTTTTCTACAATGACTAATGCAAGTGGTGCCAAGGAAAAAAGCCAAGTTTTGTGCGTTTAGCTGATTCACTACAAAATGTAAATTGAATGTTTAAAAAGAGAGAAGAGTGAGAAAAAAGATTGACAAAAGTGGCATTTGGCCCTCAATAAAATGGCTGATAGACGATAACCAAAAATTAAATTAGTAGTATGAATGTATGACCTTAGGGTAAAAGTAGGGAAAATTCCACTTATTTTATAAAAAAATTATGTAGTAATAGTGGTTATTGAACGACACTAAATAATGACGCGTCCGTTATAAAATAGTTTAAAATATGATATAAATGAGTAAATAAGATTTCACCCTAATTTAGCAGATTCATAAACAGACGAGTGCCACGTGTTTATTAATGACCCATATGTTTATCTTATGATAAAACTTGCATTTATCACTTCCATATACAATTTAATATTACTTCTGATTCTTAATAAGAGATCTAATTGACTAATTTAGAAAGACTAAAAAAATTAATTAAATTAGTTATTTATAATAAATAAGTGTTGTTCTTCCTAGAATACCCTTGCCAATCATGTACATTAACTAAAACTACTATTTGATAGAACACTTAACATATGTAACTACTACGATTTTAGAAAAAATAGATAAATATGAAAGACAAAGTAGATTGGAGTCTTATATTTATGATTAAATTAAAAGTTAAATTAGTTCTTATATTAAAAACCAGAAGTATAAGTTTAAATAGAGGAAAAAAATTAGGGACACAGACCCGTTTAAAAAATTTAATTGAGGAAAAGCATTTATACTTCTCGGTCTTCTCCAATTAAAAAATTATGAAAGAAAAAGTGTTATTGTGTGGTACGCAGACTCCAAACTTACAATAATGTCTTGTGGCCATTGCCACTGGGGAAGTCCCACATTGCCCGTGTAGAAATGCTGTTAGGGTGGACCGGAATAGGAGAATTCGGGGTGTTTAGGTAGAAATCAAATCATAATTTTAAAGTGATTTTAGAATATATGAAGTAAATATGTAAAGAAATTTATTTCTATTTATAAAAAAAATACTTTTTTAAAGCACTTTTGAGTGTTTTCAAAAACTTTTTTGAGATTTGGCTAAGCATTAATGTTTGTTCAAACTGCTTAATATAAAACTTGTACGTATATTTATATAAGTCGAGATAAATTTTTTTTTTACGTGTTTTTTTTCATATTTTGTAAGTCACAGTTAAAAGGATGCTTTTGAAAAGTTATACTACCAATCCAAATAAACACCTGCCAGCTAGATTGCCCAACTCGACTGTGTTCGCTTCAAGATTCAAGTTCTTGATCTTGTAGGTAAAGTCTGCCTTGAAGCTTGTTCCAGCGTCAATGAGACAACTCTTTTTGACAGCTAAGTTGTTTTGTTTTGTTTTTTTTTTAAATTGATGATAAAGGAATATCGTTTTTATAAATTTTCTTCTTCATATATATTACTACCTCCAGTTTTTTTTTTTTTTTGATGAGTAAATAACAGGGGTCAAGGTCGGCCAGTGAGACGATGGGGGATAAGCTTCATCGTCGAGAGGGAAACAGCCCGGGTCACCGGCTAAGGCCCCTAAATTAGATTGATTCTTTTTTGAATCTTTATCCGTGCAATTCCCTTGACACCAGAAGATATTCTCATATTTTTTTGTACATAATTCTTGATACAATCCCGTATTTTTTCATCTTCTTGTAGACTCTCGGAATAATTTTTTGGTTTTTACTATAAAACTTAGTTAACTAATTTCAAGATATTAAAAAAATTAGTTTAGTTAGTTATTTGTAATAAATAGGTGTTGTCTTTTTTAAAATACTTTTGCTAATTATGTGAATTAGCTAAAACTACCATTTGATAGAACATTTGATACGTGTAACTACTACTACTTTAGAAAATATAAATAAATACGAAAGACAAAGTAAATGAAATCTTATATTTAGAATCAAATTAAAAGTTAAACTAGCTCTTATATTAAGGATTGAAGGCAGTATAATATAATATGATAATTTATTTTTGTACATGTAGCTATTGTTTGGTATGAAGCATTAAAAATGAAGGATAGGGATTGAGAAGACATATTAAAAGAGTGTTTAGCATGAGAGATTTTTTGTTACATGAGACTAGGTAAAGCCGTGTATGTGAGATTGGAGAATGTAATAAGTAATTACTCATACTGAATACTTTTTTAATAATTTTGTTCAATCTCAAATCCAGTTCCTATTTTTTGTTTTCAATGGTTGGTACTAAACCGTTCTGAAGGGTTTTAGGCATACCTATGGGTCTCCCAAAATGATCAGACTACCCGCCCAAGCAAAATCGCATTATTGAACCGTCTTTATTTCACACAATAAATGCACTAAAGTGAGGGAGAGAGCTCTCCCCCAAAGAGAGAGCACTTTTTAAAGGGGGAGCCGTATTTGGGGAATTACTGAATCTCCAAATTACCGAATATATCCCACATATACAGTCTGATAGCATTATGATCGATATTTTAATAGTAGAATGGTTTCCTCACAATATGACTAATCAAGATTCGAATCCCAACTAGAAGGAATGTCCACATTTCATGTCTGATTGTGTCTTGAATATTAGGGGTGTTCACGAGACGAGACGGTTCTCAATAATTAGGACAAGACAGCTTTTCTGTCTCATATCTAGTCCCGTCTCCTCTCAACTGGGACGAGACATAACTAGGATAGGATAGGGATGTCCCATCTCTCTCTCTCTCTCTCTCTCTTGTTCTTTTTTTTAATTTGAAACTAACTATAAGAAAGGAAATAGATTAAAATGAGGAAACAATAGCAAACAAAAAACTTTTTTTTTGTAATCTTGATAGATAAAAAATAAAAAAACTTAGAATGTTCAAAGAATATCATATAACCCATACAAAACAGTTTATAAACAAGTAAAAAATAATAATTGATAAATATCGTTACCAAAATACTATTACAATAATAAATAAAATAAATTTATAACAACTAAAAATAAAGATAATATATTGGGATAGGACACCCCGTCCTACGTCTCGTTCCATCCCGAAACAATTTTGTCATGTCCTGCTTTCGTCCTGTCCCAAAAACTTTCGGGACGAGATTGTCTAGTTCCAAAATGATTGGGACAGGGACGGGACACAGTTAAATACTCTTATTGAATATAGTTGTCTTTAATAGAAGGATACTTATATTTAAATCAAAAAAAAAAGGTAAAGGCCCAAGCCCGCACAAGCTTCCAATAGAATATCCACCACAATCATTTTTCTGCATGCTTTCTAAGGATCAACATATCGAGCGGCCCATCATATAATTATATGATGGATAAATTATATGGATTTTTTTTTTACTAGGCACAGATATCTTTTTATTGGAGAATTTTTTTAATAAAAAAAGCCCTATCTCGACTCTTTTCATGAATATTTTGTGCATATTTTAAAAATAAAAGAGCAGTAGGATAAGTAATTCAGGAAAATTTTCGGCGTTGAAATTTTAGAAACAGAAAGGGGCCCACATAACTGTAGAAAAAAACTCAAGGGAAAAGGTCCGGTTTGATTTTAAAACTGGAGAGCATTTTTGTGCAATTTTAAAAATTTGATAGAGCTTTTCGTAATTTAATATGTTTTATGAAAATTTTGCATTGATTTTAAAGCGTTTGCATAATTTTGTAATGTTTTCTGCATTTGTTGGTGTGCAGGCTAATTATCCTCAAGTACTTGGCCATGAAGGAATTGGGTGAGCTCCATAGACCACAGTCCTTTCTTGAGTTTAAGCTATAATTATGTTTCGTTTATCGGTTTAATATTATATGTAGAAGATATTCTTTTCCCGTTAATTCCTTATAAGTATGCATAAAAGGGAAAACCAACTTATGCATGAGATACCCTCTAAAGTTGAGTGAGTATATATATGGTCATTGATTCTGACTATGTTCTTAAAGTTGAATCATCAGCCATTGATGCAGCTCATGGCAGCTTCATCTCTTGTGGCTTCTCTACTGGTTTTGGAGCTGCCTGGAAAGAAGCCATGGTTGAAGAAGGATCTAGTGTTGCTGTTTTCGGTCTTGGCCCTGTTGGGTTAGGGGTATGCATCTCTCTCTCTCTGAGATCTTTTGATGTTTCGTAGGTTCCCTGATATTGAGCACAAATTTATTTGGTATATGAGGTATTAGACGGTGAGTACTTCTTTTGTTGGGTAACTTAATCAATGTAATTTTCTCACATATATAAAAGCACTTACCACATCAGGTACCTTCAACCACTTCATCATAACCAATAGAAGAGCTGGTTGAGTCATTAAATTTGTTATAAAATGAAAAGGCAATTCGAAATTTATCCATGTTTAGAACTATGAATTACATCTTGAAAAGTGAAAAAAGGAAAATATATCACACCAAACTTTGAATAGGGAAAAGTTTGGACAAAGGTGATTCATACACCATTTGGTGATATTCATTTGTTCTAAAGAGTGCCTTATAATAAGAACCAGAAGGAGTATAACCAATTAATTCTAGTACACTCACGCTTATCCTCACTTAGCTTGGACATATAGTACTCTTCAATATGGGATTTGAAGCCCTATTTCTTCAGATAGGATGAAAATTTGACGTTTATGTCTATATATGCAAGTGGTGCTAAGTTGATACTCCCTCTAATTCTTATTATAAGCTTCAGATAATTAACTCACAAATAATGAACAATTAGTTAAAATTAGTTTAAAACAATAAATAGGTTAAAAATATACTTTTGTTTTTAAATATGTCCTTATAACAAATGAGAAAAAGGATTAAAGAGAATTTATAGGAAAAATGTGACAAGAGAGAAATAATTAAGAATAATATTGAAAAACATGTGTTAAATATTAACACAAATCCAAATTGAAACCTATAAAATGAATCACACTCCTTCTCAAATTTAAAGTTTATAAATAGGATCAGAAGGAACAAAATACTTAGTATGACCAGTTACGATGCAGGCTGTAAGTGCAGCAAAGTTGATGGAGGCAACAATGATAATTGGGATTGACAAAAATGAGAAGAAGAGAGAAAAAGGAAGAGCTTGCGGACGGACAGGCTTCATAAATCCTGACAAGTTATCAGATGAACCTCTTTCACAACAAGTCAAAGAAGCAAGTGGTGAAACGGGAGCGGATTGTTCGATTGAGTGCCCCAGAGTTCCCCGGTTGCCCAATGAAGCCATGGAATCTACTAGAGTGGTACATTTCATTCTCCAATTTCTCCGAGTAAATGAAAATTATAGGACTAGCAAATGGCATAATTTTGTCTTATTTAAAACAATGAAATGATTTTTGAAAAAGAAGTTCATATTGCAAAAGAAATCATTGTTTTTGAAGAAAAATTATTTACTGGCTAACTTTAGTAATATACGTCAAATTTCTTTGGAAATTTTCCTTTTAAGAAGATAACATATTGAGTATAATTGGCCAAATGAAAATGAAAATGAGTAAATAATTAGTGAAATTGACTTATTAATTAATTAGTTAATTAATTTTGATATAAGTGATATCCAAGTTGTTCCTGACGCAAAGGTTAGTATCTAATATAAATTTTGGACAAATCCTCTTTCATTTTAGGCTGAAACACAAAAAAAAAATGTTGATTAGCAATAAAATTAGTGATGGAATCACATTAGTGACAGAATTTCGTCGCTAATTCTTCTCTCACTAATTGGATTGGCAACTAGTTACCGATAAAAATTTTTTATTGCTAATCTGTCGCTAATTAGTGACAAAAATTTTTTGTCACAAATTAGCGACATTCACTAATTTGATTTTTGAAAAAAATATTTTAAATGCCACGTGATACCTCTGCCAGTCGCCACCTCATCGCTAGTGATGGCCGTTGGCCACCTCTACATGTCGCTATTATCTTGTGCTACCACGTGTCGCCACCGTATAATTCTTTTTTAACATGATTTTTCTATGGCTCGAACCCAAGATTTTGTCTATACACGTATATAGCTTTACCGGTTGAGTTGTAACGAACCTATTGATTTATTATGTAAAATTAAATATATATAATATTTTTTACACAAATAATTATATATACACATTTATATTATTAAAAACTAAAAAAACTAATTGATAATTTTAATCGTAACCATTTTCATGACAAAATAATTTTTAAATATTTGTTTTACTATTTATTTTTTAAGGTTTTATTTTTTAAAAAAAATATTTTAAATATAATATTAATTTACAATGACACTAATTTTAAATTTTAAATCATAAATAATTTTTTCATCAATATGTTTTTTAAATTTAATTTTTTTAATTAACATTGATAAGATATATAATTTAATTATATAAGTATTATATTACATTATATTATGTTATCTATATATTTTTTTATATATTTGATGAAAACAATTCATAATTAGTAAAAAAGATCTTGTTATTCAAAAAATAGCTACTATAATAAAATCTAATAAATTATTCTATACAAAAAAAATTAAATGATTTGAATAGTTTATGATAAACAATATTCTCTTACTTTTATATGTATCCTATATAATTTATTTGCCTAAAATCCTTTGTATATACCATTTGTTTTTACATTAAAAACCAAAATCAATCTATATAATGGGTATTAATTATATTATAATTAAGTTTCACTGCTTAATGATTGAAATTACAGGAGTTTCAATGGCAAACAATTTACCGACAGAATTAGAGACGAAAATTAGTGACAAAATTTTTTTGTTACTAATTTCATCACTAAAAATTTTATAATTAAAATTAGTGACGGAATTAGCAATAGAAATTTATGACAAAAAATTTTTTTGTCACTAATTCTGTCAGTAATAAGCTATTTTTTTTGTAGTGGTTTATGCAGTGAGTTGAAAATAGAGTAAATAAATTGCAATTGTTTTTCAATTTTGTAGAAATTTTCTGATGATTTTTTATTTCTAAAAGCTATATAAACCTTATTTAAAAATAAAAATTGTAATTAATGACCTCCGATGAAATTATACAAACGTCTTCTTTATCTTCAAGAGGGGTTTCTATGTATCTTGAAAATAGAAAAAAATATCTATGTAATTATAGGGAAAGCCAGAGATAATTTGTGTACCTTTAAAATAGAAAGAATATCTTGGGAAGGGTTGCTGACTTTATCAGTGAAGGGAGCTGGAAGTTGGAAGACATTGATCTTCCCGAACAGTTCAAACGAGCTATTAGTAAGGTGGTATAATCCTAAGCTCAGGGATTCAGGATAGAGTTCATTGGTTGAGAAGCGCTAATGAGATTTATTCAGTGAACATGGGTTATAAGTTTCTTAGATCTAAAGAGGAAAGGGATCCAGATGAGCCTACTACTTCTTTTTCAAACGATAAGGGTGTGTGGGATTTAATTTGGAAGCTTAAGGTGCAATCAAAGGTGAAATATTTTCTTTGGAGGGTTTGTCGTAATGCTCTCCCCACCATGGAAAATCTGTTTAATAGAAAATGCACTGCTTCCCCTTGTTGCTTTAAGTGTTTTCTAAATTGTGAATCTGTTGTGCACTTGTTATATGCTCAGAGATATTGTCTATTAGTAATTAATAGATTAATTTTCTTATTACAGGAAATTCCAATTCATATATGAACTTTTGAGCCTCGAGATCCAGTTGGAAATACAAGCGAAGCATTTGAGGTAACGAGACATCCAGATTGTGTCAACGTTATGGTCAAGATGTGATACCATCCATCATTGTGACCTTTTTGATATAAAAAAAATAAATTTCAAATAAAGATGCGATAATCGATATTGTCACTATGTAATTTATCATTATGCAACAATAATATGATGTTGATTTGCACCTCAATATGCAGCACATGATCTCACCTAAGTATTACGGTCTTTCCCTCTTAGAGGGACCATAATCGTCACCCGTAATTTAAAAAAGAAATCATACAAACATATATTTAATAAATGAAGCTTTGAACCATTCTAAGAGCATCAATTTAAAGTCATAATCTGCAACTCTTGAAAAATAATTCATCTTGGATTATATTACGAAGGCACTTTCGGCAAACAATGAACATGATGAGTGATTACTCAATCTCATTGGCAAGAAACAATGAAACTTCAGGATTGTTTGACGTAATAATCATCCAAATTTAAAAAAAAATTGCAAAGCCACAGCTTCGTTTTCCAGTTAATTAAAGATAATGTCAATGTAAGAAACATCAAAGAGTAATTGTTCCAGTAATACAAAAACAAAGTGGTATATCAATTACAAATCCATCTCATGGCCACGGCTCCACTTTCCTGTCAAAGATATTCCCATAGGTAGAAATATAAGTGTGAAGAAGAAGAGGGAATTGTGACAGCACAAAGAGGAAGATCGGAACACTTGCAAGTATAATAATGGGAAGGACGCCCCATGAGTATGTATGCTTCAACATGAGATGAATGGTGGAAAGAAAGGCTATCATCATGGTTGCAATGGAGATGAAAAGAAAAGAGAGGCCCAAAATCAACTTTGTAGGTAAGGATTTCAGGAACTGTTCTTCTGAGTATTGAGAGGTCAGGATTGCTAGAAACAATAGAACTGAAGTCGAAGAAGAGAGAAGTGATAATATGGTTGAGAATATGAAAACCCGGAAAAATGGTTGTTTGATTAATAATGGATATCCAATATTTTGGTCATTTCCTCCTGGAACAGTAAAAGCTGCTGCAAACATAATGGTCACAATCAGGGTACCAACCACTGAGCATGAAGATGCTGTGGCCTTTATCCATTTCTCTCCTTGCTTCATTAATTCTTTGTGATTTTCTCTGAATAATTCTCTAGGTGTCATACCATGATTGTTTCGATGTCCCCAAAGGCTTGGGGGCGTTAAACTCTCCACCTCCTGCATTTGTTTCAAAAAGCATGGCATTTCACATTTTTTATCAAAACCAGACTACCACTCTATCCAGATTGGAAGAAAGCAGTCACCAAAGAAAGTGGAACATTGGTTTAATGCCAAGCCTAATGAGATTTTACTTTCTTAGTAATTCCCTTGAATGATTCTAGAACACTTAATGCGCCTAAAATGAAAGTAATTCATAGGGGAACATTCTCAAATACTTGGGGACAAACTTTATTTAGTTGATTGCTTTTTGCAATACTCAATTATAATTGATGATTCAAATTTATATAAGGGATTATGACTCAAAAATTAGTACATGTCTTTATCTAACCTTGAACCATTGTAATTCTCTTTGCATTTGTAGTGTAGGCGCGTAGATGCGATTAAGAACATGATCAGGAGCCTTGATAGCTGCCTTATGCAGAAAGATATCTCTATATTCATCAACACTAGCTGTTAACAAGCCGCGGTTGAAGCGAAACCCATGGATAAGGTTGAAAACCCTAGCTTGTCGATAATTTAGAGCTTCAATGAAACACGAAAGCGACATTTGACTGATGATAATCCCTGGGATTGCTTTTGATACTTGGAACACAAACTCAACGTTCCCTTCTCTAGCTGCAAGACATAAAGGCTCTTCTATGTAACTCTCATGGCATGCTTTCCTTGCATTCTTACAAACTAGACGAAGGAATTCATTTGCTTGTGCATGCAGTAGCTTCAGCTCTTGTATTTTCTTAACTCCTACATTGATACACATCACACATGGATCTTTTAGTTAGTTTAGTTTAGTTTTTCAAAATTAATAGTAACAAGTACCCAATTCTTTCAGTTAGCATCCATGCCTGCAAAATTATCCATGAAGTTGATGAGCCTTTGTGGTGAACAATGACCTATTACTTAAGACCAAATCTTTTATCCCTCTTCTAAATAAATTAATTGAAATAGAAATATTGTGTTGAAGAGATAACATAATGTTAATCAAAAAGGGGAAGAGTTCCACATATTGTTGAGTACAATCCTCTACCTTGATTTTGATCAATCATGAATGCAAAATAGTCATATGCCTTAATGCAACTTAACTATAGATATTAATATGACTTGAAAAAAAAAAAGCAATGTAAAAGTTACACATTTTAATGCCTAAAAATATTATTCCTATTCTACATATGTACCTGGTTCAGTAAGTTTTGCTTTATCTCCTTGATTTCTTTCCCCTTGTTGGATGTCCACATAAACATGATTGATAGCCGTAGTTGAAGGTATATTTATATCTTATATGGACAAAGAACCAACGAAATAACACGTCATTAAAAAAATGCATAAATAATAATGCTGATAATAAATAAATAAATAAAATAAAATAAAACAACGTATGAAAAATCGCGTTCTCTGTGGAAAAAGAGATTATTGGAATACACTGTTAGAAGTTGTTCTCCCTAGCTTATAACAAAACATGATTTTCTTGAAACAATAAATTGTGGAAAAAATAGTGTTTGGGTAGCTTATACCAAGGCCATGGTCTTGGTGAAAAAATAGATTGTGAGAAATTACTTAGTGTTTTAGTTTTACCATAGTTTTCTCTAAAATAAATGTATTTTGAATCAAGTCTTCTTAATTCACTTATTTTCATTATTTATAGGTTGATCTTTAGTCTATTCAATTGTAGTCTTCTTTCTCATTGATTCTATTTTCTAAATTACAAGCAAAAACTAAGGAAATAACCTTTAGCAATTATGTATATGTGCGCGCCCATAGCGTACGTTCACTAAATGCAGCAGACTACAATACAAAGAATGAAGATAATATAACATAAAAGAATCTACACATGACAGTGAAAAGGAAAAGAAAGCATTTGAAATATATACTTAAATACACTGATACTGACAGTTATAAACCCATCGTTTCCAGAACACAAGTTCGCTTGGGCTGAGAATAGTAGTGTTCAAGGTTGCGATGTCATGAACCGGCGTCCGCCCTTGATCATCGGCAGGCACTAAAAGCAATTCTTCGCATTGGTGAAGCAAATTCAGCGCAATATCTGCATATATTTATAGAGTCACGCCATGAATTGAGACAGCAGCATAAAAAACAATAGACATAACTAATAACTAATAAGGGGCTGAGTTTAGTAAAAAGAGTTAGTCTCTCACGGTGAACCAAAATTCAAATTCTCAATAGGAGAAATGCTCACATTTACATTTAGTGCTTGACAATATCTCAAACAAGAATACCTTTAATAAGACAATATCTGTGACTTGCAAAAAAAGTTTAAAAAAAAAAAGAACTAACATTACGTACCGAAACATTGTTCACGGAAACAAAAACTAAGAAGCTGAGAACCCCAGCGGCCTTTGAGGTATTCCAAGGGAGTGACAGAATAAAGATAACGTCCCATTTCGTGGTGACCATTTCTAAAGGCAACTGTGACAGGAAGATGATTACCACCGCTTGGAATACCAAGTATGTCACTATTCTTGTCTACGAGGCATTTTGCAATTTGAGTGATTCCGCTGAACCAACTAGCCAAGGCAAGGGCTGTACGACCGTTAGAATCACGAGCTGCAATGCATTCTGGAGGCAGTAATTTGAGCAACTCCTCCACTATGGTCACATGGCCAAGCTGGGCAGCCACATGAAGCGCTGTGCTCTTTGATTTAGTAATTCCAGCAGTCAAGGCATTAGGGTTTTGATCTATAATTTCCTTCGCTTCACTCCACTTGTTACCACTTACAGCATGCTTCAAATCCCTCTTCCATCCTTTTTCCTCATCTGTAATCCACACAAGCATCGAGGCATTTGTATGATTAAATGGAGCTGTCGAAGCAAATCATGTAGCTCATTTCTCAAACTCCACTCAATACACGGTCAAATTAGACACACATGGTTTATAAAACGACATTACTACCTCTGGTTCTTAATATAAGATCTTGTTTGACTTTTATTTTGACCCTAAATATAATACCCCAATCCACTTTGTTTCTCATATTTATGTATTTTTTCCCAATGTGATTCTTCTAACAATAATAGTTCTGGCAAATACATTTAATTAGTAAGAATATTTTAGAAAAGATACCACCTATTTATAACAAATAACTAATTTAACTTCTTTCCTTAACCTCTTCAAATTAGTCAATTAGTTCTTATAATTATGATCAGAGATAGTGCTTTCATTAGCTTCCTCATATCTATTATATGTCAAGCTACGATGTTTTTTTGACAGCTATTGATCCAAACGAGACTCAAATGAGAAGAGCTTTTGTACTAATTAATTATAATTCACCTGATTCCTCATCATGTGGCGTTGGTAAGGATTGTTCGATGCCGTCACCTAATTGTTCTCCAGATGATGAGTAGGGTGAAGGACGGAGCAGCCCCACGAGAGGATCCAAGTCGATCGAGAACTTTTGTTCCAAGTCACCTCGCGAAGTTGACATTTTTGGTGCACTCGCCAACCTGCAGCTTCGTTATATCAAATTAATGTTTACTTATATAGCAAACTAGCATTGACTATCTCCGTGTGATGCACGGGATGAATTTACTTTAATTTTATTGATTGTTATAAATTAAAAATGATATGGAAAAATAATAATGTTGTGATAAATTAACTAACCATTTGAACTTTACTAAAATAGTTATTTAATACTACAAACTAAGCAATAATACTTGACTCAAAATATAATTGGTATCTTTTTTCAATCTCACATAACCACATACAGGTCCATGAACAATAATTTTTTGACCTTCTTCGCATTTCAGAATTTTCGTCCAGTGACTTATAATGTCCCTTTATGAAGAATTAAAATATATAGAATGGTGTTTCAGATTCAAAAATAAACGGTTTAGTATTTAGGCATAATTTATTTGGTGCACTGTAACATTCTCAATTTATTTTGAAATTTAATGTCAATTATGGTTTAGGATATATATAATTAAGGAGTAAAATTATTTAGGAACGGTGTTAAAAAATAATAAATTATTATTCTATAAAAGATATTAATAAAAAATAAAATAAACAAAAATAATTGATAATAGAAAGAGATGTGTGTGATGAAAATAAGGATATGGACAATATTAGTATCGGAAGACGTTTTAATAAGAAACCCAAAAAATCTACTACAAAACTTATGAACTATGCACCTTGACCTGAAACACATTCCAAAGATTTTAACGGCTAAGCAAATACTACAAGATAAGTCTGTACTGATTTTCTACCGCTGAAATATCATAACTTTGTGTTCCCAAAGTTTCAAGAACCTTCAGCCAACTTTCTTACAGTGTAAGTCCATAAAATAAGGATCTTACCAATAACAGAGTTATATGTCATACAAATAAGAAACCCAATAGACTTACCACAAAAATATAGATGACCATTTCTTTCATACTGGATCAACTTCTACATAAAATAATTATGAAACAAAAAATACATGAATTTAACATATACTGAATTTACCCATAATTTAACAAAATATCCACTACAATGGTTAAATTAGGCTAAATAATAATAAAAATTCTAAATTCAACTCCGAACAAATTCCTGCACCCTCCACCTGTATGAACTTCCCACAAATTGAGGACTACCACGCCTTAATGATATGCATAATTCGTATACGACAACTTCACCTATTTCAAAATGCTATAATTTATTAGCAAACGAATTCATAGACT